GTGACGATCGTCTTCCTCTCCGCAAAACACCACCACCACCACCAGACGTCTGCCCACCCCGTCCCGCATAAAACCATCGCATCCCTCCCGACTGCCCCCCTTCCGCTGCCGTCCATTCCCCCCCTTGTTGATACCCTTTGCTTCAGCGCCGATCCCCCTCGCGTTCCACCTGCTTGGGATTTAACCCGCTCTGAAGCTCTCGTCAGTCGCATTCTGCCCACAGACCGATCAAGTTCCACCGTCGCAGATCGCCGCCGCGCCGACTCGCCGCCAACATGCACCGCACTTATTCTATGCGCGCGACCCGGGCGCCCACTGCGTCCCAGCTGCAGGTACGACCACCTTCTGCCGTTGCAACGGCCTCCAGCCCTGGCAGCACGCCATTGAGAGGGTTCCAACGCTCACAGCCAGCTTGTTTTAGAGCCCCCCGCCGCCTCCGTCGTCGACCAAGGCCGGCCGCCTCTTCGGCAAGGGAAGCTTCGGTGAGTGACACGCGACACCCGCAATGCGTCCACGAGCGAGCAACATGATGCGTGCTGCACTGCTAGACGCTGCCCGACCCGCTCGAACTAAAGCTCACGCAATTGCGCAGGCCATGCCCTCCGCCGCAATGCCGGCGGCGCCTTCGGGCCCGACCTGGCCAAGAAGCTGTCCCAGCTCGTCAAGATGGAGAAGAACGTCATGCGAAGCTTGGAGCAGGTAGCCAAGGAGCGCATGGAGGTCGCTGTACGAGATTTGCCCCTTCCTGCTGTTGTTGGACACGCGCTGACCGTTCCCTAGCAACAACTCTCCATCTGGGGCGAGGGCGGCGACGAGGATGTCTCTGACGTCACCGACAAGCTCGGCGTCCTCCTCTACGAGATCGGCGAGCTCGAGGACCAGTACGTCGACCGCTACGACCAGTACCGCATCACCATGAAGAGCATCCGCAACATTGAGGCCTCTGTCCAGCCCAGCCGCGACCGTACGTTCCGCCCGTCCCGTCCGTGCATAAGCGTTGTGTAGTATTGACCGACCGCAACAGGCAAGCAAAAGATCACCGACCAGATTGCTCAGCTCAAGTACAAGGAGCCCAACTCGCCCAAGATTGTCGTTCTCGAGCAGGAGCTCGTCCGTGCCGAGGCCGAGTCCCTGGTCGCCGAGGCCCAGCTGTCCAACATCACCCGTGAGAAGGTCAAGGCCGCCTACACCTACCAGTTCGACGCCCTGCGCGAGCACTGCGAGAAGGTCGCCATCATCGCCGGCTACGGCAAGCACCTCCTCGAGCTCATCGACGACACCCCCGTCACCCCCGGCGAGACGCGGCAGGCGTACGATGGCTACGAGGCCAGCAAGGCCATCATCCAGGACTGCGAGGACGCCCTCACCAACTGGGTCACGGCCAACGCCGCCATTTCCTCCAAGCTGTCGACGCGCTCGCGCACCCTGTCCCAGCGCCGCCGCAACAACATCCGTGCCCGTGCCGAGGGCGGCCACGACCTGTCGGGCCAGGACGCGCCCCTCCACGACGGCAGCTCTTGGGTCGGCCGACACGATGACGAGTCCGAGGAGGAAGAGGAGGAGGAGGACGTTCACCACGCCGGCCTGGACACCGAGGGCGGCGTGAATGGCGGGGAGAGCCGCGGCCGCACCCAGGAGGCTGTCGTCGCGTGAGACGCCCCCCTAGCCGAGCCACCACCAGACCTCAAGAATGAACATATCCGGGGAACTAGAAAAATGCCGGCGCGATATCACAGGGAGCAGTAATGAGGGTAATATCGGTTAGGCAGCCACGGACGCTGCCATGGCGGAGTTTGCACGGCAAGCTTGACATGATGGACGGTTCTGTACGAGTGCTTTTATTGTCGTATGCTTAGTAGGGTAGCTTTTCTTGGTGTACTCTTATCGCTAATACCAGGTTGAAAGGTTCAAGTGCCTCTGGTCGCTGCCTCTGTGCGTGCTCATCTTTTAGATCAAAATATGGAAAGGGTATCATTGGATCTGAAGCGGCACCACATGGACATTGGTGATTGTAGGTGATGTCATAGAGAGATCGTGATCGTCTCTCTGCCTCTCTCATCGTGGCAGCTGGCTCGCAAACTGCTCCAGCTCCATCTTGACGATGTGGTGGCCCGGCACGACAATGAGGCCGAGGTAGCGCGACGTCATGTCAAGTGCAACAGTCGTGCCCTCGGCGGCCTCCTCCGCGAGGTGCCGGCGCACCCTCTCGTCCGACGGCTGGCGGTACTCGTACGTGTGAGCCAGCACGACGTTGCTGTCCTGCAGTAGAAGAAGCAATGAGCCATTGTGTGCCATTCAATGGGGGAGTACTCTCTGTCTTTCAATTGTGAATGCACATGGGATGGGATGGATGATGGGGGTACGAACTGGGTCGGTGCACTTGAAGGAGCCCCAGAACAGGCGCCCGTCCGTGGTGGTGATGCGCAGGTTCTTGTTCAGCAGGGACTGGAGGTACGCCTGGGCCTCGTCCTTGTCCATGATGGGTGATGGGGAGGGAGGGCGGTGGCGCGGCGGCGGGGTGCGCAGCCCGGGGATCCGTGGGTGAGGTGGGACGAGGAACTGGTCGTAGTGGTGACGCTCGAGAAGTGAGATGAAGTTGGCGGCGGGCGGATGATGAGTTCGTCGGGTGCCGCGGGTGGGGTTGCCTCGGGCGCAGCGACTTGTCTAATTGGCCTGCCCCGTAAGTTCGATCACCCACTCTCAACTCAGAACTGTGCAACACTCGAGAGTCAACAGGGCTTCGTTGACCTCGAACTTGTCGTTGCACAGCAGAACCCAGCTACCATCATCAAGATGCTGAGCTAGTTAGCGCACTCACTTGCTGCGTGGCTAGCGGAGTCTACCGTCTCGATGCCAACCTTTGACGGTGTGCATCTTTGCCACTGTATGTCTCACCGTGATCCGAGCCGTGATAGACTGTCGGCCTGGGTTCAGCGGCCCTCCCGCTTCCGACGTGGCACGACCTCGCGATGGAGAGGGAGCTGAAAGCCACCAGACGCGGGGCCGGGCACGGCTCGGGCCGTCGGCATTGAGGCGCGACGAGAAGGCCTTGGTCACGACTCACCGCATACACGTTCGTGCCGCTGTCCGTGTTCCGAACCTCCTGTGAGTCGTGACACCGCACCGCCTGTGCGGGTGTTACTGTGACCGGGCGAACTGACGGGGTCAGGATCGAATATTCCCTTCGATGGCGTAGCATGGAAATGAGCAGATTATCAGCCACTGAGATGATGAGATCCAAGGCGGCCCGTACATAAGTTACATGTACTTGTGGAGAGTCTAGACACAGTTCGCTGAGTGCACGGTATATTCAAGTCGCTCGTTTTGGGCTGCTCAACGGGGCCATGGCAAAGGATCGGATTGGCTTGATCGGCCGAATATGCGCGCAAGAGAGCAATCGCAGGGCAGAGTCCTTGACATTACGGGAGTATCCTCTCCTCTCACGGCATATCACTTTAGCTGCCGGCGCTTTGTGCACATCCAATGTTTCGCTCTGAGTCGCTTCGAAGCTGCTGTCGATTTCAAGGCTTCGACGAGGCCCGGTCCTCCACTGGACACAATTGTCTGCGGGAACGGCAGAAGCATTAAAGACGCCAACGAACCTTCGGCGCTGTCGCCTTCCAACTTTAACTCGCGAGAAATCCATAGCCTCTTCTTGCGAAAACAGCACGAACCTGCCCTACACATACCATATCAGCTCGGGCGTAGATTAAAAAATCTTCAGAATGCACCTGTCCTTGATCGCGGCAATCTTGCTCCCCACCGTGTGCCATGCAGACCAACTCATTGCTAGTCCCACGCTCTCGGCCAAGCCTTGATCTGACCCCAAGTTTGCTGACAACCTGCGACAGGGTGAACTCGACATTGACTGGGAATGCGACGTCCCGGCCTTTCACCCTCTTTTCATCGATATCTGCATGCTCACCTGGGGAACGCAGTAAGTCGCCCACCTAGTGGGAAGTTGGAACTGTCCCGCCAGGCTCCAGCTTATCGACCAACAATAGCTCTGCCAAAATAAACGAGCACGCCAAGTGCAAAACGTACAGGTACGTCGAACAGGGCCCTCTCGAGCAAGCCTGAGCGCAGCTCGGAGCTAGACCGGGGCCACCCACTGACAGGCATTTACTAGTGATACGAAGTGTGAACATGAAGTCAGGACGGTGGACGCCACGGTCGGTTGTCATCAATTGAAGCACTGGGGAGAACCGCTTTCGGTCCGCTGCTTGGCTCTGGACGATCAGTCCTAGACTTGAGTACTTTCATTTGGCACAGCTGGTTGCTCCACGGCGGTACTGTGGCTCCGAGGTTGCAAGAGTAGCAATGTCGAAATTCATGCTCTTATGCCCTCCACAACATACCGTGTAGACTTTTGTCAATGAGCCACTGGCGCTGCGTACATCAACTCGCACGGCTCGGGATGTTCATCGGATCACGGCACCTAACCGCGGCCTTATTACAAGACCCTCGCGTGATCTTACCGAGTTTCCCGCGAGACATAGATTCCCAGCTGACATTTGTTCTCGCGTTTTGCTTCTTTTGTCTCATAGGCTGTTCCACGACGTATAGATCAGTCTTTCCATGGGACGTGACGGCCTTCACAGCAACGCCATCAACTACACACTCGACGTAGATTCAAATTCACTAACCCCGTAAAACTTCGGGTGCAACATAAGGTCCGGCCAGAAAGGCGTCAGTCTGGCAGGATACTGTACGCGGGACCATGAACGAGGCGTCAGGGCACATAAGGTAGAAATGCCGCCAACTTTTCTGCCAGGTGTCGATGCCCTCTAGTACCCTTGTTCTCCAGCACTGCCAAGGGTGTACCGCTCATCAACGTCACATCATCACCTCAGCTAAAGCCAACGCCCATCACGAACATGCTTCTCCCGGCGTTTACTGCAGCACTCCTCGGTGCGTCGAGTGTCGCGGGCTGGGGAACCATTGTTGTACGTCGCCGATAGCTTGCACACTGTCTGCGTGCCCGCTGCTCTGACCACGGTTGCGCAGGCCCAAACCTATACTGGCAAGCAATGCACTGGTCGCATCCATGAGCTTTACCACGACGAGAAGTGCGCCCCTTACGATCCGGATGCCGCGTATGTGATTCGCTTTTGGGTGTGCCGCTCCCCATAGGTCCGATCCCACGCTGACACACTGGTGACGGACAGTTCGATCCTCATGTACGGAAACGCCAAATGCTACGTTTACGGGTACGTCGTCCTGAATAGCCTTGGCAACACACCAGACCTCTGACAGAGACTGCGTAAACAGCGCCGGAGGCTGCGAAGGGGATTACAAGGAAGTAGACTCGTCCAAGGGGTGCCACTCGATGAAAGAATACTGGGGGACGAACTCAATGTACTGCGTGCTCACGGAGCAGAAGTAAATGCCAATACTTTCTTGTCCGACACTAGATGTGGGACAGCAATGAATTGCCAGATGGGCCGAGCCCCGAGCCACACGCAGTGTCCCCCAACACAGCCGTGACATCAATGACACAGCCTCACCATGGAGACAGTATTGAAAGAGAACCCAGTGCGGCGAAGTCGCCACGAAACGGCTCGGGTCGTCTGCATTGCACAACGACGAGCCGACGGTCGTGCCGCTCTTCGTGTCCCGAACCTCCCGTTGCACACATCGCTCGTGCGAGTACGGTAACTGGATGAACCGACCGGGTCAGAGGCGTAGCCTCTCTTCGTCTGCGTAGTCTGGAATGACCAGATTGTCGACCGCTTATGTCTGGGGCGGCCCGTACGTGCCTGCGGAGGCACCTATTGCCGAGTGCATAGCATATGTAAGTCACGCCGTTTGGTCCGGGTGAAGCCATCGCTAAGGGTCCGATCGGCTGTTCTGGTCGATGCGGCATGCATCAGAACAGCTGCATGAGCTTGCCATTCACACGTCCTCTCCGTGCGGGACAGGTCGATTCAGCCACCTCCATGTCTACTTCGTACAACGGTTATCAACCCGATGCCCCAGCCGCCGATCAGTCCGACACTTGGCAGCACCGCTTCTACAGGGGCTCCAAGCTTGACTGCGCGGGAGCTGTCTGAGGGAATACGCGAAGCATAAAGGCAGCGACATGGACGCGATGCCCTTCCGCGCCAGCCTCTCATTCCCAAGCCAAGACTTCACGGTCTTTCTGCTGAGAGCAAAGCCCGGCCCTAGACGTCGTATCGGCAGCCCAAGCCTCGACCAGACCTCAAAATGCGCCTGTCCGTAATCACCGCGATTCTGCTTTCCGCCTCGTGCCACGCGGACGAAGAAGCCATTGTGAGTCGCCCGTTTTATGCTTTGCTTTTCAAGCCCAAGCGCACAGACTTCTCTGACAACTCGAGGCAGGGAAGCTTCCACCCCGACGGCGGTTGCTTCTTGTCTAGTGCCTTCTACATTTGGGCCAACAGATGCGGCAGCACAGGTTTTGCCAGGTATAGCGATGACATGCACCTAGAGGAAACCGGGGTCATCAACATGTAGCTAACCAGGAAATAGTCAATCGGCCTATCTACGCCACGACACCAAGTGTCGCTTATACAAGTAAGTCACTGCCGGCCTCTACCATGACATCAGGCTATGTAAACCGCAGCTACTGACAGGCATGACATAGCGATTGGGAATGTCGCAATTTCGCGAAGCAAATAGATGCGCCGAAGGGATGCCATAGACTAGAGCACTGGGGAAAGCCGCGCTCGGTCTTTTGCGAGGCTCCTAACCAAGAGTAGAGTTGGGGGCGTCATGCGGGGACAGTCCTAGTCGGTGACCGTCCATGACCCAGGAGCTACGTAACGCCATCCTGAGCAACAAGTTCAATATACACTCAATGCATATTGTTTGAACAACCCGTCAAGTCCTCGAGTGAAGTAGCGGGTCCAGCTGGCCCGACAATAATGTTATCCCGCGCAGGGGGGGTTGTCTGGCGCTCTGGGGTTGCGACGCCGGCCTCGGACAAGTATACGGGCATGTAGGACAACCATATCGTCAGCTCTTCTACTAGGTTTTCAGGCCGTACAAGAAGACCTCCCCGAGCCAAGGGCAGACGCCTTTGCTACATCATGTCATCGATATAGCTTGGCGGCTGCTCACAACTCGGAATGACCGTCTCGACGTTCATCGTGGCATCCATCTATACCCATGGCAGGGGTCCAAATTCTGAAGTGGTGCGAAGTGAACTGGGCACTTCTCCTCCGCTCGGCTCAGTAGTTGAGGTTGGTACTACTTCGTCTTGGGTTGCATTCGGAAGGAGAGTGGGCTGATGAATTGGCTGAAATCAGTCGTGCTCAACCGGCCATGCCCTCATCCACGGTGGCAGTATGTACGGCTGTATTACGACTTCAGCATCGGGAGAGCATTGAGAGGCACATGTGCGGACCTAGGTGGGCATGTCACCACAGTTCAGCCGGCTCAAGCCGTTGCCCGTATGCATGCCATGACTAGCAGACCAAGGTCACTGCATACGAGTCCCCCGCTTCATCATAACAGTCAACGGAAGCTCACTGCGACACCGCATCCTTCATGCACAATCTGTTCGTGGGCTACTGTGTCCACAAGCCGGAAGCGAAGGACGGGTTCAAGTTTGAGGGGCAGCTGCCCTCCGAATGCGCCTGGTCGGGTGGACAACCACGCGGCATCTCGGCATCCCGGCATCCCAACTTCGGCCGTTAATACGAGATCGCGACAATCCACGATAACGCAGAATACGCGACGTGGCCGGGTCGTGCTCTCTGGTTCCCGTGAAGCCACCGCAACGGCTCCCGGAGACGAGTTCTGCAATATCGCATGCCGTGGCACGCGCGGCAACAGTTGCGCAAACTCCGCCGTTGGCATGAAGCCCGCCGTTGGCATGAAGCCCGCCGTTGACAAGACTCTCCACTCAAGAGAAGGAATACAAGCCATGCTTACAACGTTTCACCCAACGTTGCGGCTGCCGAGCGCTCCGGAAAGCAGAACCCCCTCCTCAACGGTCTGACTTGATCGGGTCTGTAATGAAGAGCCCAAAGGCATAAAAGGCGGGAGGAAAACCCTCGATCTGGTCAATCGCTACCTCACAAGCACCTCATAACCATATTGAGCTACAACACAATATCTCAGACTAGACCTTGCTTTCATCAGCTCCGACAGGCTCTGCCCAGATAGCAAATATGCGCTCGAACTTGATCACCGCAATCTCCCTTGCCGCCTTGTGCCACGCAACGCAACCCATTGTGAGTCGCCTGGTCAGACTCTGTTCAGGCTGGAGCAGGCTTCACTGACAGCTTGGAACAGGGCAACCTGCATTCCGATCCGTCTTGCAAGGTCGAGGGCGGGAAAATCGTCTTTCCCGAAATATGCGCCCTTACGGGTTACATCAGGTATGACGATTGCGCCCACGTCGAGGACCGGCCGTCATCTACACGTGCTGACCAGGAAACAGTGGCACTTTCGAGGTTTACACTAACACCACGTGCTTCGCATATAGGTACGTTGCTCAGGAGTCCCTGGCTAGCCTCCTCCGCAGGATTGGGCTATGCACATCGCAGCCACTGACAGATTCGCACAGCAAGGAGGGATGCACGGGCACTGATAAGGAAGTAGCGGCGAACGAGGGATGTATTCCACTAAAGAGTTGGGGGTCGCCGAAATCGATCATGTGCATGGTTCCGACGAAGTAGAGCCATCGGGCTAGCATCCGGCCCCGCTGGCCAAGCGACTGCCTTGAGAAGTCGAGACCCAACATCAGAGCAGCAGTGGACGGCATGGAGGATGCGGTGGTGTTGGTTGAAGTCAGATGTCGTTAGGTTTCGTTCCGCCCGCGCTGCGCCGAAACAGTGCCCGGACACAGACGGTCCTTTATTCGTGAACTAGTTGGATAGGAATCGATCATTACACAGCCAATATCCTGGCCTTGGCTCTCACCTGCCGCCTTCGTGAATGTAGTCGGTAAACTGACTTACACGGACGTCCCCGTGAATGTGGGCCCGTCGGACTCTCGGCTCCTACTGTATGTAGGTTGGCAGCGGACGGCACATCCAGCTGAGGTCCGCGCACCTCCAGGTCTAGTCCCGTCGTCATCGCCCGCCTTGCTGCCCGCTAATGCGTAGTGGTATTAGCGGGAACCAACCCGCTGCTGTGGCGCCCGTCTCCACTAGAGTCAGCGCTCACGGTCGCTGTACCGACCGTGAATTCCAGTTCCGCTTGCGCCTCCGTCTGTTCCCTCCCTCAATCAACCCCGATTCATCATTGTGTTGCGCCTCGTCACGGCGATGCAGACATCGCCCCCGGCGCCACTCGCCATGCCCATTGATTCTTGATCCTTACACCTCAGGCGGCTGGTGATCAACCCCCAGCGCTGCCGCCATGGGTGTCAACGGCCTCTGGACCGTTGTCCAGCCGTGCGCTCGCCCGACCAACCTCGCGACGCTCAACCGGAAGCGCCTCGCCGTCGATGCGTCCATATGGATATATCAGTTCCTCAAGGCCGTGCGTGACAAGGAGGGCAATGCGCTGCGCAACTCGCACGTTGTCGGCTTCTTCCGCCGCATCTGCAAGCTGCTCTGGTTCGGCATCCTGCCCGTCTTCGTCTTCGATGGCGGCGCGCCCGCCCTCAAGCGCGCCACCATCCAGAAGCGCCAGCGCAGGCGGGAGGGCCGTCGCGACGATGCCGTCAGGACTGCCGGCAAGCTGCTGGCCGTGCAGATGCAGCGCATCGCCGTTGACGAGGAGGAGAGGCGCAGGAAGGAGCACCAGGACACGGAAGTAGCCGCGCGCGAGGCACGCCTCCAGGAAGAAGACGCTGCTGCTGCGAGCACGGCAGAAGTCGGATACATGGCTGAGATAGGCATGTCGCAACAGGAAAAGGCCCAGACGAGGAGGTTCCACAAGCAAGACGCCTACCATCTCCCTGAGCTGGACGGCGGAATAGCCTCCATGGGCAAGCCCGACGACCCGCGCATTATGAGTGTCGAGGAGCTCGAGGAGTATGCCCGGCAGTTTCACAACGGAGAGGACATCAATCTCTACGACTTCAGCAAGATTGATTTCGACGGCGACTTCTTCAAGAGCCTCCCCGCCCCTGATCGATACAACATCCTCAATGCCGCCAGACTACGAAGCCGACTCAGAATGGGCCTTAGCAAGGACCAGCTAGACGACATGTTCCCAGACAGGATGGCTTTTTCGAGGTTCCAAATCGAAAGAGTCAAGGAGAGGAACCATCTCACCCAGCGGCTCATGGCTGAAGTTGGCATGACAGGTACAGACTTGACGCTGGGGATCAACGCCCGCGTCGCCGGTGAAAGGGACCGCGAGTACATCCTGGTCAAGAACGAGGGCGCGGAGGGTGGTTGGGCCTTGGGCGTCGTCAGCAAAGACAAGGACATTGGAGAGGCGCACAAGCCCATTGATGTGGACGCCATCCAGGTGCAATACCAGACCAAGGACATGGAAGAGGAGGAAGACGAGGACGACTTTGAGGACGTCCCCATCGAGGGCCTTAACCGACTTCCGAAAGCGACACCCGTTAATCTGGGTGTTACTCATGCTGCACGGGAAATGGCGGCGCAACGGCAGCGATTCCACGACAGCCAGTCACATGCCGCTACAACGGGGCGAGGCGAGGATGAGTCCCTCTTCGTCGGTGGCAACACGGGAGAAGCGGCCTCTGTCCTTCAGGACGAGCCAGAACAAAAAATGCACCCGGAAGAGGCGGACGACCTGAGTCGCGCGATTGCCATGTCCCTCAAGAACCAACACGACTTCGACGAGGACTCGGCTGCCGACGAGGAGTTTGAAGACGTGCCTGAGGCTGCGCCAGAGTGGACACAAAAGGCTGTGAAAGAGACGCGGCCCATAATGTCTACCAGCGGCTCCATGATTGCGCATATTGTCAACAACCGAGCCAGCGCAGCCGTGCCGAAGCGAAAAGAAGAGGCACACACTCATGAAAGCGATAGCGAGGAGGACATGCAGACCGTCTTGGCTCGGTCGCGGAAGGCAAAAGCTGCACAGCCCAAGCCTGTCGTGGAGAACAAGAAGAACCCGTTTGATGGGCCGTTGCCGTTTCCGAAACTTGATTGGCGCAAGTCGCTCTTCGCTAAAGGGCCTGCCGAGGAGAGCAAGACGGGCGTAGGGCAGACTGATGTTGGTGGTGAAGTGGCCGATGACATGGCCGGCGGGTTCGAGGTCGAGCACCCGCAAGAGCAAGACGGGTCCCTGCCCCTGCCCCCTTGGATGATCGACAATACAGATATCCGAGAGTCGCTGAAGAAGCAGCAGGATGCTGAGCGAGAGATTAACGAGGAGGACAGACAAGAGGCGGAGGAGGAACAGCGGAAGAGGCGACGAGAGATGCAAAACCAGATGATCGAGATCGACTCATCATCCGATGACGGGAGCGACATTGAAATTGTCGAAATCCCACCTTCGCCAGAGCCACAGGGCGGCCAGGAATCGCTGACTGTTGACGCCATTGAAGAGACAAGCATGGTCGAGGGTGCCCAATCTGCAGCATCCCCAGGGCGGGAAGCAAGCCCGGTGCTGTCACCAGAGCCTACATTCGAGGAGGTGGAGATACCCCAGGGGTGGCAAGATGGAGACGAAATACCCACGGAAACAACCCAAGCGTCAGCAACTCCGGAGCCCGAGTTTGAGGACGTGCCAGAGCCAGAGCCGACAGCACCAGTCCCGACAACAGCACGCGAAGAGTCGCCACTATTTCCGGAACTTGCACAAGTCGACTCGCAGTCCGAGCTGCAGAATCAAGGCGGTGGTGCCACCTTGGCGGATGACCCCTTTGCGGATGTCGAGTACGACGAGTTCAGCGATGCCGAGGATGAGGAGCTCATGATGCAAATGGCCGCTGAGGCCGAGGAACACGCCCGGTTTGCCAGCGAGCTTAACCAGAAATCGACGACGCAGAACAGGGAAGATTATGAGAAAGAGCTCCGAGCTTTGCGGAGTCAACAGAAGAAGGATCGCCGCGATGCGGACGAGGTCACGCAGGTCATGATCTCGGAGTGTCAAGCCCTTCTCCGTCTTTTTGGCATTCCTTACATCACCGCGCCGATGGAGGCGGAAGCCCAATGCGCTGAGCTGGTGCGTCTAGGGATCGTCGATGGCATCGTCACGGACGACTCGGATACGTTCCTGTTCGGTGGCACGCGCGTTTATAAGAACATGTTCAACAGCAACAAGTTCGTCGAGTGCTACCTCGGTGTGGATCTCGAAACCGAAATGTCGCTCTCGCGGGAGCAGCTCATCTCTCTGGCGCAGTTGCTCGGCTCAGACTATACAGAGGGTCTGCCGGGCGTCGGTCCCGTCACAGCCATCGAGATTCTGTCCGAGTTCCCTGGGAAGCGGGGACTGGATGACTTCCGCGAATGGTGGACCGCGGTTCAGTCCCAGAACCGGCCCAAAGAGGCCGACGCCTCGTCGCCCTTCCGCAAGAAGTTTCGCAAGTCCCAGGCGACGAAGCTCTTCTTGCCCCCGGGCTTTCCCAACCCGGCCGTGTACGACGCATACCTGGAGCCAGAGGTCGACCACAGCGCGGAAGCGTTCCAGTGGGGCGTGCCAGATCTCGAGGGGCTGCGGCGTTTCCTCATGGCAACGATCGGATGGAGCAAAGAGCGGACGGACGAGGTGCTGGTTCCCGTGATCCGGGACATGAACAGGCGGGGCGTGGAAGGCACGCAGAGCAACATTACGAGATTCTTTGGGGGCGGGGTTGGTGTCGGAGCCAAGGAGGCGTTTGCGCCAAGGCAAAAGGCGCAGGGAAGTAAGAGGATGCTGGCTGCCGTGGACAAGTTGCGTGCCAACGTCGGAGGCGCCGAGGGGAGCCCGGAGAGCGGCGAGAAGTCCTCCAACAAGCGGAGGCGGACGGCCAAGAGGGGCGTGGTTGTCGATGGTGAAGACGAGTAGACATAGTTGTAGATATCTTGGATCTATACACTCCGTCCAATCGCGCAATATTGTGGTCTTCCCGAAAACTGCTGCATGTCGACAGGCCTGGCTTTGATCTGAGCGCGCAAAGGTGCATGCATGCCGGCAAGTCTTGCCGAGGGTACTTGCGTCGTTTCGCAAAGGAAACGGCGCTTCATCTGGAACATTCTCTCGCCATGCGGCCGCTAGCCTCAATCCTGTTAAGGCTCTTTTTCGAACTAAATCGCCAGCAACTCAGGTTGAAACTCGATACAGAACAGTTGAATCAAGCATACGAGGTATCTCCAGGGTAAGACGCCCTTCTTCTCTCGTCCTACATCCACTACACGTACCCCAGGGCGCCTCGGGTAAACGCCGGCCCTGCCGCCACACCACCCCGGCCCGCATACAAGCCCAACGTCCCTGAAACTCCGAGTCGCGCGACCAACTCTAACCCCACGATCTCGCACCATTTGCCCGCCACGTCGCCGACCGCGACCGTCCGTTTCGGAGCCGCTCCTTGCCCTCGCCTCGCATCGCATCCGTACACGCCCCCAGCATGCCCGCCATGATGGACCAGCGCGAGCTCGAGTCGCGCGTCAAGGCGCTCAACAAGTCGGTCGCCGCCAACGAGCCGCCCGAGAGCGCCATCAAGCTGCTCGACTCGCTCAAGAACGATGCCGCCCCCACGGAGGAGATGCTTCGGGTGAGTGACGCCCCTGCTCGGCGGGAGTTTTCGTCGCGTGTGGCTCGCGTGCTGGCGCTGCGTGCGCGTGCGCTGCCGCAGACGTGATTGCGAAGCTGCGATTGCGCCTACCTCTTCGATCCACGCGTGCGAGGCGCTCTGAACGACCGAACTGTTGCTGACCAATGTATTTTTTTCTCTTCCCAGGCCACCCGCGCCGGCATCATAGTCGGAAAGCTGCGCTCGAACGCGAACAAGGAGATTGCACGCGCCGCCTCGGAGCTCGTCATCAAGTGGAAGAAGCTCGTGGAGCAGGAAAAGAATTCCAAGCTTCATAAGAGCAAGGGCTCGCCTGCCCCCGCGCCGGCGTCGTCGCCCGCCCCCCCACCACCCACGAGCCTCAAGAAGACCTTCACCGGCGATCCGGAGAAGCGCAAGTACGACACTGACGGCGTAGACATCAAGCGTACCGACTCGAACGTCCGCAACCAGTGCATCGGCCTCATGTACAACGGCCTCGCCTACCGGTCCACGGAGTCTGGCTCCGATGTCATCGCCAAGGCCATCGCCGTCGAGCATGCAATCTTTGTTGCCTTTAAGGGTGAGACGGCCGACTACAAGAAGAAGATCCGCTCCCTCTTCTCCAACCTCAAGACCAAGTCGAACAAAGAGCTCGGCCCGCGCGTCATGTCGGGCGACATCTCTCCCGACAAGTTCGCCGTCATGACGGACGAGGAGCTCAAGAGCGAGGACCAGCGCAAGAAGGACATTGAGCTGGAAAAGGAGAACATGAAGAAGGCGCAGGTGCCCATGGCGGAGAAGAGCATCAGCGACAGCCTCGAATGCAGTCGCTGTAAGAAGAAGAAGGTCAGCTACACGCAGGCTCAGACGAGAAGCGCTGACGAGCCGATGACGACGTTCTGCGAATGCATGAATTGCGGTCATCGTTGGAAGGTAAGCGCCCCCACCATGCTGACGCTCGTGTCGAGACACGATGGGCTAACGAGGCGGGCAGTTCTCATGAGGTTCGAGCGTCGACGGGCTACAAGGAGTTTTTTTCCGCTACAATAACGGGAGCAGGTCATTTCGCATAGGCGTGCGTGGTATCAAGTCCGGGGCGACCGGGCGCAGGACTGGGAGTTTGGGAACGATATATATCACTGTGGCTTGGCAACGTGCACGACGGCCAAGGGAACGGGGGCATGCGGTTGCTTTTCATCTTTGTTTCGTCCTTCGTCTCATACCTCTTGCTTTTTGCGCTGCTGACACTGAAGGGTCAGCCTGCATCGTTGGAGGTTGTCAGGCCCTGCTTCCTAGCTGGTGGGGTGCAGTTTGTTAGATTCGAGAGACACGGCCGCCAGTACATTAGACCGTTTGTTTTACTGTCAGAATACTACTTTTTCTTCAGACGAGGCGATGCATAGTGGTATCTATTTATTGGGACGACGGCTGGCTGATGCCCAGCTCCTGGAACAGGTTGGTGGCCTCTTGCTCCTCGAGCCCCATCTCCTTGATGCGCTTCCAGAACTTGCTCAGGTGGCGGGTGCCCGAGTCGCACAGGATGGTGACGACGCGGCTCCCCTCGGGCAGGGCCATGGCGGCCTGGACAGCGGCGACGCAGTTAACGGAACTGCTGCTGCCGACAAAGATGCCGTCGTTCTCGACGAGCCAGCGGGCCATGCGGCAGGCCTGCTCGTCGGAGACCTTGACGGCGTCGTCGATGAGGTCCCTGCCGGCCTCGAGGTTCTCGGTGACGCGGTTGATGCCGATGCCCTCGACGATGGAGTCGACCTGCTGGCGCCGGCGGGTGCCCTCGCGCTCCGTCGACGAGTACATGACGCCGTGCCTGATCTTGTTGTAGAGGCCGCTGCCCTGCGGGTCGGCGAGCACGACGCGCAGCCCGTCGAGCTTGGCCTCGAGCTTGAGGTAGCGCGCGACGCCCGAGATGGTGCCGCCGGTGCCCGCGCCGGCGACAAACGCGTCGAGCCGCCCGCCGTCGGTCTGCGCCCAGATCTCCGGCCCCGTGGTGGAGAAGTGCGCGTGCCAGTTGGCCTCGGACTCGAACTGGTTGGCGAAGAAGCCCCTGCTGCCGTCGGCGGCGCGGCGCTCGTGCTCGGCGGCGCGGGTGCGGGCCAGGTTGACGAAGTGGCCGGGGCTCGTGATGGGGGCGACGGGGACGCGCTCGACGTCGGCGCCGAGGTGGTGCAGCAGGTCCGACTTCTCGAAGGCCTGGTCGTCGGGCATGCAGATGTGGGCGCGGTAGCCGCGGGCGCGGGCGAGGGTGGCGAGCGAGATGCCCGTGCTGCCGACGGTGCCCTCGTAGATGGTGTCGCCGCGGCCCGGGCGCAGCAGCCCGCGGCGCTCGGCCTCCTCGATCATGGACAGGGCGACGCGGTCCTTGGGGCTGTTGCCGGCGCCGTTGAGGAACTCGGCCTTGGCGAGGATGGTGCGGCCCGTGGCGGCGGAGAGGGAGTGGATCTCGACGAGGGGCGTGTTGCCGATGCACGCTTCGATGCCGGACGCGACGACGCTGCCGTCACCCCTGCCCGAGGTTGAGAGTGCCGCCGCCGTCGGTGATGGGTCCTGTTCCGCCTCGCGGTCCTCGAGCTGCACGGGGGCACCACCGCCCCAGAAGAAGCTGCTCCGCCGGCGTCCCGGACCGGCGGCGGCGGCCCTCCTCCTCCTCCTGCTGCTGTCCTTGTTGCTCTGGTACCACTGCTCCAGGTCCGGGTAGAAGTCCTTGAAGCCGAGCGTGACGAGGATGCCGGCCGCGAAGGCGGCGGCGAGGGCGGCGGACCCGTAGGCCTTGGGGTGGTCGCTCAGGGACATGGCGACGATGTCTTGTGGCGGTGGCGACGGCGACTTATATTACATCCATCCATATATGCTTGGCAGCGGCCGTGGCATGATCCAGACCTCGGCTTCGAGGTGAAGAGACGAGAATGTTGTGTGAGTGAGGTGAGGATCTGATGTCATGAGGGCCCATGGCCCGTTTGGGAAATCGTGAAAAAGAAATGCCCGCCAGCTAAACTTACCCCTGCTTGCTGGCGGCTGTTTTGCGCTGCCATGCTTTCCCCCCCACACGCACGCACGCATGCGCCGGCACACACACAGACCAGGTTCGCCGGATCATTCCACCCCCCGAGCGCCGGCCAATAATCGAGCTCCAGCCAGCGACGACTGCTTCCTCCATCTTGAAGACGACGAAACCATCACCAGCCGCACCACCAATCGAACCGGCTGCCGTCCCCCGCCGACTCGCCCGCCATGGACTCCCCCGTCGTGGCCCAGCTCTTCCGGCAGCTGTTCCGCCACCGGCCGCGGGGATGCCAGGGCCTGCGGCCGCCGCCGCCGCCGTCGTCGTCGACGCTCGTCGCCCATGCGTACTCGGCTCGACGCGCTGCCATCGGCGGCGCTGCTGCTCCGGCCGGCGCTCACCAGCACCATAGTCTGAGCAGACGGCCCCCCTCCTACCGCTCGTACGCGACGAGAGCCTCCCGCGACCGCGGCATGAAGTCCAACGAGAGCCGCTGGCAGCAGCGCACCCACATCATGCCCGAGGACAGGAGAGAAGAGTTCGCGCAGTACCCGTACATGTCCATCCAGGACCTCAAGCGGCGGACCGAGCGCCCGCGCAAGGTCAAGATGCTGCTGCGCGACTTCATCGACGGTTCGTTTTTGTCGCCAATTCACCCCCTGCCTATAAAGGCGTGACTGATCCGAGTAGACTCGCTGTACAACCCCTCGTACGGCTACTTCTCCAAGCAGGCCGTCATCTTCAGCCCCGGCGAGCCCTTCGACTTCAACGCCATGCGCGACGAGATCGAGTTCCACTCGGAGCTGGGCCGCCGCTACACCGAGTTCGAGGACGCGCTCGACGACGCGCAGGGCGGCGCCGAGAACCCGACGCGCCAGCTGTGGCACACGCCCACGGAGCTGTTCCGCCCCTTCTACGGCGAGGCCATCGCCCGCTACCTCGTGTCCAACTACCGCCTCACCACCTACCCCTACGACGACCTGCTCATCTACGAGATGGGCGCCGGCCGCGGCACCCTCATGCTCAACATCCTCGACTACATCCGCGAGGTCGACCCCCAGGTCTACGCCCGCACCCGCTACAACATCATCGAGATCTCCCCCTCCCTCGCCGACCTGCAGAGCCGCCACCTGCTGTCCACGGCCGAGTCGCGCGGCCACCGCGAGCGCGTCGACATCATCAACAAGAGCATCTTCGAGTGGGACCGCTACGAGCCCTCCCCCTGCTTCTTCCTCGCCATGGAGGTCTTTGACAACTTTGCCCACGACGGCATCCGCTACGACGTCGCCACCGAGGAGCCCCTCCAGGGCCACGTCCTCATCGACGGCGACGGCGACTTTTACGAGTTTTACGTCCACGAGCTCGACCCCGTCGCCGCCCGCTTCTTCCGCGTCCGCCACGCCGCCACGGGGGGCCAGTACCCCAAGCCCTACCCCTCCAACCCCGTCCTGCGCTACCTCTCCACCAAGATGCCCTTTGCCGCCAACCTCTCGGACCCCGAGTTCATACCCACCCGCCTCATGCAGTTCTTCGACGTCCTCGAGAAGTTCTTCCCCGCCCACCGCCTCCTGACGTCCGACTTTGACGCCCTGCCCCAGGCCGTCAGGGGGCTCAACGCCCCCGTCGTGCAGACGCGGTACCAGCGCCGCATGGTGCCCGTCACGACGCCCCTGGTAAGTTCCATTCGCTGTCCTCCCTCTTATGGACGATGGTCGATGCTGACGGCGCCACGCAGGTCCACCAGGGGTACTTTGACATCCTCTTCCCCACCGACTTCCGCATCACAGAGGCCATCTACCGCGCCATCACGGGCAAGCTCACGCGCGTCATGTCCCACGGCGACTTCATGCGCCGCTGGGCCTACGTCGAGGACACGGAGACGCGCAGCGGCGAGAACCCCCTGCTGACGCACTACCGCAACGCCAGCGTCCTCGTGACTGTATGAGTAACAGCAGTAACAACGGGCTCGTCCGTTGCTACTCTTGGGATGGAAATACGCTTGAGTGGTGGTGGTGGTGGTGGTGTACCATCGCATGCGGTGCGCTGTAAACCTACGTGTACATGTATATAGACGAACAAAAGGAACGGGACGACTGGCACATATACCCCCTTCTGGCTCAGGCACCACTCATCTAAAACCCCTTCGTCGGGTGTGAAAACGAGACTCCGAATCTATGACTGCAAATCAGGACTCAAAAGTGACCTCTATTTCTGTCATCCTAGGCAAATGGCACCCCCTTTTCGGGTCCCAATGCGTCGCAGTCCCCTTTCAGACTAAGTGACTATTTTCACACTCGCGCCGGAACCATGCCTATCCCAGCTACGCACCAAATAACTGAAATCCACCTGTTATCCGGGGGCAGAACGCGCGCGACATATCAACCTCCCCTCAGCTTAGATCATAATACATCCTACAGCTTCAGCTTCTCGTCCAGCCACTTGGTCGCCGTCTCGACGCCGTCGTCAATCTTCTCCGGCTGGGTGCCCTGGCCCTGCCGCGTGGGCTCCTTGCCGCCGGACCGGCCGCCCACGACTTCGGACACCGAGGCCGCCCACTTCTCGGCGGTGACGCCCTGAGACGCAAGGTGCTGCAGGAAGCCGTCAGTATAACTGCAATCAAGTCAAGGTGCTAAAGGGGAACATACCGAGCCGACAAACACGCCGTGCACCACGGCGCCGTCCTCCTTGCTGCCGCCAAAGAGGTAGACCGACTTCTCCTTGTCTTTGCCCTGGAAGTGCTTAATCACCTCCGTCAGGGCCTTGGCGTTGCCGCTGATCGGCAGTCTGCCGACGAACCACTTGGCATCCTCGTTCTTCTCAAAGTGCTTGAGCACCGTGTCGAGCGCGGTCTTGGCCTCGGCCTTCTGGCGCTTCTTCTGCTCGTTGACGACCGACGTCGTGATCTTCTGGAATCGCTGGTTGAAGTCATCCTTGGTGAGGGTAGAGATGACCAGCTGGCTCAGCTCCTGCGAGACAGCCTTGACCTGCGCCTCCTTCTCGGGGCCGAACGGCAGGGCCTCGAGCGCATCCAGCGTCTTGGCAAACTCGGCCGCGTCTCGCTGCACCTGGTGCGCCGCCTCGCCAGTGTAGGCGATGATGCGGCGGATGCCCTTGGCGATGCCGCTCTCCTCGACGATGACGAGGTCCTTGATCAGGCCCGTCTGCTCGACGTGGGTGCCACCGCAGAACTCGACACTGTACTCGCGCCACTCCGGCTTCTTGGGCTCCTTGAGCATCGTGTCGATGTCCATGCCGATGGACACGACTCGCACGGGGTTGGGGTACGTCTCGCCGAACACGGCACGGACACCCTCAATCTGGCGCGCAAGGTCCAGATCAACATCCTTGGCGAAGATCTTGTGGTTCTTCTGGATGTCCGCGTTGGACATATCCTCAATCTTCCTGAGCTCCTCGATCTTGACCTGGGCCTTGTGCGAGAAGTCGAATCGGAGCTTCTCGTTGTCGACCAACGAGCCCTTCTGGTTGATGTCGTCGCCAAGCACCTGTCGCAGGGAGTGGTTGAGAACATGGGTGCCGGAGTGGTTGTTGCGGATGGGCGACCGCCGGAGCTCGTCATACTCGCAGATGACCTTGTCTCCGGTCGAGAGCTCGCCATACTCGATGTAACCGCTGTGGAGGATGTAGCCACCGTACTCCTGGACGTCCATGACCTTGAACTCGGCAACGTCGTCGATGACGATTCGGCCGGTGTCGGCGACCTGACCACCGGATTCGGCATAGAAATTGGTGCTGTCCAACAGAAGGCCGATGGCGGTGTTGGGCTTCAGGTCCTTGGTGGAGTTGTGGAAGGTCTTGCCGTCAAAGATGAGCTGCACCTTGCCCGTGCTGTCGCCCTTGACAAACTTGCTGTCGTCGTTGGTCCGGCTGACCTTGCGCTGCTGCTCCAGCTCCGCAATCTGGTGCACGTCCAGCTTCGCAAACGTCTCCACCGACTCCTTGACCGCCTTGCTGGCCTCACGCGCCTTCTCCTTGGCGACGTTCACCTCCTCCTCGTCGATGTCCAGACCGCGCTCCTCCGCCATCAACTTGGTCAAATCGACCGGGAATCCAAAGGTATCATAGAGCCTCCACACAATGTCGCCGTCAAGCTTCTTGACGTTGTCCTTGGCCGCCTTGGCCGCATACTTTTCGAACTGAGCCTCGCCGCGGTCCAGCGTCCGCGCGAACGCTTCCTCCTCCTCGTCCAGAATCTCCTTGAGGTCCACCTGCTTTTTGACCAGCTCGGGGAACTGCTCGCCCATGTGGTCAACCAACGCAGGCAGGATCTTGGAGAAGAAAGAGCCAATCTCAGCGTTGAGGTATTTGCGCGCGTAGCGCACGCCTCGTCTCAGGATTCGTCGAATAACGTAGCCGCGGCCGTCGTTGTTGGGCACAGCGCCGTCGGAAATCGCAAACGACAGGGTTCGGATGTGGTCGGCAACGACTCGGTAGGCGGTGTCGATGCCGTCCGCATCGTCCTTGCCGTACTTGTCGGTGTACGGCCTGACGCCCGTAACCTCCTGGATCTGCTTGAACAGCGGGGTAAAGCAGTCGGTCGCGTAGTTGGACTCGGTGTCTTGCAGCGCAGAAACCAGGCGCTCGTAACCCATGCCAGTGTCGATGTGCTTCGCGGGCAGTGGCTTCAGGCTCTTGTCTTTTTGGCGGTCGAACTGCATGAAGACAATGTTCCAGATCTCGACGACCATGGGGTCGTCCTCGTTGACGAGGCTCGCCGCGTTGCGTCCACCGATCTTGTCGTAGTGCACTTCGCTGCAGGGACCGCAAGGGCCCTGGTCACCCATCTCCCAGAAGTTGTCCTTCATGTTTCCGGGGAGAATGTGGTCCTCGGGGACGCCAATGGCCTTCCACAGCTCCTTGGCCTCCAGGTCGGGCTCGAGGTTCAACGACGGGCTTCCCTCGAAATATGTAACGTACAGGCGCGTCGGGTCGAGTCCGTAGACCTTTGTGAGAAGCTCCCACGACATGGCGATGGCCTCCTTCTTGAAGTAGTCGCCAAAGGACCAGTTGCCCAGCATCTCGAAGAAGGTGTGGTGGTAGCTGTCCTTGCCGACATCGTCGAGGTCGTTGTGCTTGCCGCCGGCGCGAATGACTTTTTGGGAATCGGCCGCGCGCTTGAGGCTCGCCATGGGGTCCGACTTGCCAATGGTGCCGAGGAAGATGGGCTTGAACTGGTTCATGCCCGCGTTGGTGAAGAGGAGCGTGGGGTCATTGTGGGGGACGACGGAGCCCGAGGGCACTGTCGAGAAGGGTCAGCATGCGCAGCAGAAAATGCGAACGGTTGCCCCGCGGCATCAGGGACTGAAGCCGAACGCGACAGAGCGCGATACACCCGGCCGGGCGTTGAGTTTGGCGGCGCGAGGCCGTTGAAGCGCGGGTGGCGAGGGGTCCAAAAGCCAAAAGAACTTACCGATAGCGTGACCCCGCTGCTCAAAGTAGTCGAAGAAGGTCTTGCGCACCTTCTGCGCGGGCCACTGGACCTCGCTCATTTTTGCTGCAGTCGAGTAGAGGCGCCGCCGGCAGGAGATTGCAGGAAACCTGGTCGCGAGGAAGCGTGAGGGCGTCGTGGTGATGGTAGTGTTTGTGGTGGTGGTGGCGGTCGGAGGAAGGGTCCCAGGCGGTAGAACGGATAAGACTCGACGACGATGGCGGGGTTGTGGTTGAAGGAGGGAGAGACGGTGCCGCCAATTGCGGTCGCGGGGCGCTTGGGCGGTGGCCGGCGCGGAGAAATAGAAACTTCTACAAGCGTGAGTCAAAGGTACAAGAGGGCCGGCAGCCGCTGTCGGCCCAGCGCCAACAGCCACGGCGCACCCGGCACTGACACGCGCTGCCGCTACCGTTGCTGCTGCTGCTGCTGCTGCTGCCCACGCCGCCTCCCGCATCTGCCCGCGTCTGCCCTGCGCTGCGACCCGACTGTCTGTCTGGCACCTGGAATCTGACTCAACGACGAGCTGAGGCGCGCTCGCATCCAAACAGAAGCTGTCGTCACGCCGCCCCCCGACTTCGCCGTCGCTGTCTCGGAGAGAATCTGGATGAGGCTCTGAACAGCGGAAAAAGACGCGCTCGCTCAATGCTGGCCCGCACTGGGTGCGAGATCGAAGCTGATTGAATTGGACTCGACTGTTCTGCCGGGACGAACAAGGAGTGAGGAGGAGGATGATGGTGCAGCAGGGAGCCGGACTGCAATCTCCCCACAACGCCGCCGCCTTGTACCCCGGCGTCCCCGTCGCCGCCGCTACGCCAACACCAGCGGCGGTGGTGCCTCAGACAGCGACAGCGACAGCGCCGCCCAGCGACGACGCAGAGCCGCCTGCGCATGCCGGTCGCAAGAGAAAGGCCGACGCCCACGACAACAACGAGCGGCTGTCCAAGCGACTGAGCCTGCTGAATCTCGGTACGTTTCTATTATCTTTTCTGCAGTCTCTAACTGGCTTGCGCTAACTGCCCTCTAGAGCAGAATGGGTCCAAACTTTACGTCCCCGTCGAGTCCGCCATGGCGGCGGCGGCGGCGGCGGGTGATCGACTCGGCCCCGCGACCGCCGCCCTCACCAACAGCGGCAGCGCCCACGCCAGCTACGAGGCCGACGACGTGATGCACGTCGACGACACGAAGCACAAGGTTTACATCTACAATATCGACGATGAGCTCTCCTCCTCCGACAACGAAAGCGACGATGGCAAGCTCGTCTTCCTGCCCGACATCGAGAAGCACCTGCGCCAGAACCGCATCCCGCCCCACGTCCTCGTCAACAGCGATGGCGAGCTCGCCGGCATGCAGATGGTGCTCTATAGCGACCCGAGATCCCTCTCCGTGCCCGAGGAGAAGGACGGCGTGCGCAAGGCCATCATCGAGTCGCGACGTCGAGTGCGAGAGCGCCAGCGGCAGGAGCGGGAAGGCGTTACCATGACCGACGACAGCCCTTCCACACCCTCGGCGGTACAAATGGACGCGATGCAAGACACCGCCGCCCCCGACGATGACGACGACGTGATGGACATGGACTAAACACGATACATTATACCTTGATTCACGGCGTTTGGAATAGCGGTAGAAATAATCTACAAAGCTACCTGATCCTTTAGCGAGGCGCAATACAACAATGCTTTACACTATTATCCTACGAAGTAGGGGGCTGCTTGTTCCACAAAGGACCGACAAAGACGAGACCTGCTATGTCTTGCAATCTTCCTTGCTCCAACCCCTGACCCTCTTCCACGATATCCAGAGCTCATGCCGCTCTTCACCTCGTGTTCGCGGGCGGCGGGCCTGCGGGCGGCGCATAGTCCGGAGCCGGGTTCGACTCGGGGGCTCGCCTCGTCGGTTCCGTCCGCCACTGCGACGGGTCGACCTTGCTGCCGCCCTCAGGAGGCCCGGCCGGCTGGCCAGGGTACATGGGCGGACGGTTCGGGTCGTACACGGGGGGTGCCATGTTGCCCATGTGGTAGGCGTCGGGCTGATAGTAGCCGCCGCCGCCGCCCTGTTGCGGCCAGCTGGCTTGGTACTGTGGAGGTTGATACGCCCGTCGACTGACCAGGCACTATTTGATGAAATTTGGGTTAGCACGGTGCGTCCCTGTGCCTCTGCGGCGCTCCAAAGAAACAAAGACGCAAGAGAGGATAGGTGGTGTTGCTGGAGGGAGTTGATTGGGACTTACTCGGTGGTACGCCAGCGGCTGGAGGCCCTTTCGCAGCCGCCGCTTCGCGTGCCAGTAGCCTCCGAGGATGTACCCCATGATGAGCAGGAAGATGACGAGGAAAATGACCCATTTGACGATGATGCCCTCCTGTTTGTCGCCATCGTCGTCAGCGTTATTGGTTCATGTGCACGCCCACCAGCCCGTTTCCCCCTGGGCGACGTGCTTCCACGGCTAGCGCCAACATACCCGACTGTGCCACCACGGGACTACCCAGTCCCCATCCCTCACCCAGCCGGGTGGTAGATCGTCTCGCGGCCGGATGCCCATCTCGAGGGCGGTTCGGTCGTTGTCGTTGAGGAGGTTGAGGTGTTCTGTGGTCGCCGGCGCCACTCGGTGTGCGGACTGAGAATGCGGTGGCACGATGGGTGTTGTTTTGTTTACTCGCCCTGCGAGCAGCGTCGGCCGAGGTGTCCTCTCCTCTGATGGACCCGCAAGAGAAAAGGGAACAGTTTCTGGAAAAGATGTCCTCCGTTGGACAAAGCGCGTCGTCAATGCACCCTCACGATGCGGCAGCAATCAAACAAGAGACGCTTTTTTAGGAGTGGCAGAGCGAGAGGGAGAGAGGCGTCCACAGGTATTTGAGTGTCGCAGCATTTGAAGGACATGGCGTGGCTGAGGCCGCCCACCACAGGGGGTCGGTTCCCAGTCGCTCGCCCACCGTGAGTACCAACCTTGGAAGGTTTCCCAGACACGACACACCCCCCACCCGCGCCCCGTAACACGCAGCGTCACAGGTCAAGTACGGGGCCTGGCGTGTCGCCCGTGCTGCGGCAGAGGCACCAGCAGGCGCGGGTGGCTGGCCGTGCTCCACTGCAGCCGGGGGTGGTTGACAGGTGGCTCCACGGGCCTCCCCTCTCCATGATGATCCATCCCCTCCCAAGCCCCCCCAAAGGGCCCTCCTCAACCTGCGACGTACTGCAAGCCTACCTGCAAGCCCCCCATCAGCCGGCTTGGCCAGCACCCGATCGCAGGCTCGGCTTGCGCGGCATCTGCTGATGATGTGCCGCTCGTCTGCGTGTGCCGCTCGTGCACTGATGAGCTGCCGGTGCAAATCCCTCGTACAGATACTGCGTCGTGGCCAACCCGCAAGGCGGTGCGTCGCCGAGTTTCACGGCAGATGTGTTCCGTCGGGACATTTAACACTCCATGCCTTTCCGCAGGACCCGTCGTCCATCACGGCTGCTGATTGCGACGATGCGTCCCGCACCTTGTACATTGCGGGATACGGCATGGCCACAAGATCCATTATACTTCGTCGCGCGTGCAAATACGTTTCGCTGATTTAGCTCTGCGCCGACATACGAAACTCTCAACACGAGATTCATGCTGCACAAATGCTGCACAACTGGACGACCGGACAAGGCGCCAGCCATTGAGAATTTCGTCAAGCACTGTCCATGCTACGCACATCCTACACAGGCCGTTAAGAGCAGGAGTAACACCAACCTTCAGCACCCGAGGGAGTGTCGTATTTCGCCCGCAAACAAACATCGCTCTCATGCTTGCCGTAAACGCCTAGCCATAGTTACATGGATACAGGTAATGCAGCAATGAACTGCTGTGCTACAAACCCACCCCGCCCGCAGCCCACCCACGGAATGCATCGCCTCCATCGGCCGGGTTCCCTGGCGGCGGATGCCCTCCCTGGCCCTGGTTCCGTCTTCGCTCCTCCTCGGCCTGTGCGTGCGCCTGCTGTATCCGCTGCCGCCACCACAGCAGGAAGACGAGGGCCATCGTGATGCCGATAATGACCACGCTCTCGACCACGCCTCCGTCATCAAAGTCTTCGTCTCCAGCGCCGATGGTGCCTTCATACATGTTGTCGTTATTTAGTTCGTCTTCGTAGTAGATGTTATCATCCTCGAGAAAGTTGGCAATCCACTCCGACAAGGACCAATCCTTGCCCTTTTCTGCAAAACAGTCAGCACATTCATCCTCAGAGACGCAGGATTGCAAAGGTCAACGTACTCGGCTCGTCTTGTATCGAGTGCACGGAGCCATGGGTTAGAGTGTTCCAGGCGCTGCGGATTCTGAGCTTGAGCAAGCTCAGCGTCACCGGAAGGTATGCCTCCTCGTTGACCTCCAAAGCGTGGTCATAGTAGCGCTTAGCCAGGTGAAAGTCCTGTGTCAGCCCGATGCCGTTCTCGTGCATCCACCCCAAGTTGAACAAGGCCTGCGCGCTCTGCGAATAGTCCGAGGCCCCAGTGTAGCATTGGACTGCCTTGCCGACATCTTGATTTGTCCCGATGCCGTAGAAGTAGTAGTCCCCCATCTTCACCATCGAGTCGATGTTGGACTGCCTCGACGACCGCGTCCAATAGATGAGAGCCAGGCCGGGATTCTCCAAGAGCTCGGCCTCGCTCCTGGGCTTCCGGAACCACTGCGAAAAGGGTATTTTGGACCGGCCCGTGTCGAGCATGTAGGCCACGTTCGTCTGCGCCCTCTCGTAGCCTTGTTCGGCCGCCATGAGATACTCCAAGAATGCCAGCTCGTGATCTCCGGCCTCGTACGCGTCGTTTGCGTCTCCCCACGAGGAGACGAGCGGTTCCGCCTTCTCTGCCACAGTCTTGTAATATGACATGGCCATGCCGCAAAGCTTTTCTCGGCCGACGCCGTGGTAGACCATCTCTCCCAGATAATAGTGAGCCTCGATATTGCCGTGTCTCGCCGCCAACTCAAAGTGGTTGTTGGCGATTCTGAGGTCCTCGGGCTCGCCCTGGTCGAGATATAGTCTACCCATCTGAACCTGTGCCGGAGCATAATCCTGGTTGGCGGCGGCCGTGAGCAACTCCATGGCAAACTTGACGTTTTCCTTGCCGCCGTAACCGTTCAGCAGCATGAGACCCCGTCCGTACTGCGACTGTGCGTCCCGGAGGGATATGCCGCGGTCGAACCAGATTTTGGCTCGCTCAAAGTTTTGCACCACGCCGTCTCCTCTCAGGTAAATGCGGCCGATGTAGCCCGCGGCTTGAGCTGCCGTCCGCTCCACGTCCTTGGTGTAAGTTTCGACAATGCGGTTGTCCTTTTTCCAATACCTGGACGCAGCCAGGTAGAAGTACTTTCTGGCAAGCTCGTAATCTCTGTCGAGGCCACGCTGTCCTTCATAGTAAATCCGTCCGAGATTGAAGGACGCCTTCGAGTCGCCTTTCTGGGACACGAGGTCGAGATATTCGATGACGTCGCCAATGGCAGCACGCGTCGAGTCCGAATATGCGTTGACTTTTCGAGAGTTGATCCCTGAGCTGGAAACACTCGCACCTTCGCCATATATGCCACCGTCATCGTCTGAAATGCGCCACCCCTGGAACACCCACGACATGCCGCCCGGGGGCCCGGCACGGTACCAGTTGATGGCTTTGTCGGCAACCCTCTTGTAGTACCTGACCGCCGCCTCGCAGCTCTTTGTCGCGCCTATCCCGCTGTGGTGCCGAAATGCCGTTGCCATTTCGGCCCGAGTATCGCCCCTGACGGCCGCAAAGGTGTAGTAGAGGAGAGCTTTGGCCTGGTCTCGAGGAACGACGTTGCCAATTCCAGTCGAGTGATACAACCCCAGCATGTACTGCGCCGTCGTGTTCCCATGAGCGGTTGCCAACTGCTTGTAGTGCTTGTAGGACGCGTGAAGGTTGCGCGGGTGGCTGTAGTTGCCGAAAAAGTTGAGCTCGGCGAGCAGGAAGAGGGCGTCGGAGTTGTTATGATGAGCCGCTTCCTCCAGGAGCTCAACCGCGCTCAGGAGAGGCCCAGAGACGGCTTTCGAAGGCTTGTTGGCGGACGGCGCTGACGCGGGGCCCGTGGGTATCGCCTTGCCGAGGTATCGAAGTGTCGCGCCGATGATGCCGGATGACTGATGCTTCCGTCGTCGAGATGATCGTGGGATCTTCTGGAGCTCCGAGATCGCAGATTCAACGATATCGGCGCCTGCGAGTCGTCAGCCACTGCAATGTTCGCCCACGAGTTGGTTCGGGACATACCTGGCTGCCGAGGGGCCGGCTGGGCCTGTTCCTGGACCACATCCGTCTTGGGGCCTAGGCCATGATTCCGTGGGTCGCGACGGGCAAGCTTCTCTTCCTGGGCATCATGGTAGTATTTTGCGTTGGTGCCCAGCACCGCGGCCGCCTGCGAAAGCACTGGTCGCGGACGTGTTAGCTCAGGGACTGGACGTCGACGGCGATCGCGGGACTCGGAGGACTCGACTTACGGAGCAAGCACACGGCCGAGCTCTTCATTCTGGGCAATCACTATTTGCCTGGAAATGATGATGGAGCTCGGAGCATTGCGCGACGCAAGCATCCGTCGAGAGGGACTGTGGAAGTGACGGATGTCGAGCAGCAGGATGTCGCGATCGAGCTACAAGCTGTCCACTTCGGCCCAGTTACGTAGCGTCAACGGCGACAGGGGGGTCGTCCCGCCGGACTGTTTGGGCAACGCCGCTACGACGGATGACTAAGACGATTTTGCTCCGTGCGAGACGGGAGAGTCACGGGACTGGGCAAGAAGCTCCAGCCAATGCTCACTTATAAAGTGCTTCACGTCATATTAGTGCACGCGATGCGATTTCGGGACATGGCCTCCCGTGGCATGCAGTTCGACGAGCATCGCCACAACCCGTGCAACGGAACGAGGGAAGTGCCGGTATCGCAACATGAGACTTGCTTTTCATGGCCGCAACTGCTCCCGCGTGGCTGCCGCAGCGAATGGGCTGAACAGCTGCCCCGGCCCAACCCCACTCACAGCTGACCGGTGAGGGCTCACTAGCTGCGGCTGCCTGCCACTGACACGCCAAGCTCGAAGTCCTGGGCTGCGGAGCGCGTTAATGGCTTTGCCCTCCGCGTCTCCTCGACGCGCCTCGAGCAGCTGGTTTGCACACTTCATCGTCCACTGCCAGCGCAGCGTCTTTTCTTCCGCACCAGTCCCATCCAATTGCCATTTTGCCACTTTGGCCGTTCCAGGCCCATTCGGCTTCAAGATTTCTTGTTCCCCACCTTCTAGAGCGTTGTGGTGTCGTGTCAGAGGGCTTCGATCCGTCTCGTCGACTCGGCCCTACCCGACGCAGCAACGGCATCTCGCCATGTCGGCAGTCAAGCGCAAGACTAGCTCGTCGGCGACCGAGTCCGAAGCCAAGAAGATGAAGGCCAATGGCAGCATCACGTCGTTCTTTGGCGCGCCGAAGCCGAAGCCTGTCGACGCCTCTGCTCCAGCACCCGCAGTCAAGTTCGACAAGCAGAAGTGGGTCGACAGCCTCACCTCAGAGCAAAAGGAGCTCCTGAAGCTGGAGATCGAGACGCTCGACCACAGCTGGCTGGCGCATCTGAAAGATGATATCGTTACCAAGGAGTTTCTGGAGCTCAAGAAGTTCCTTGACAGAGAGACGGCCGCCGGCAAGAAGTGGTTCCCACCCAAGGAAGACATCTACTCTTGGTACGTTGCACTGACACCGCGGCGCCCCCGACTCAACCGTCTTCTAACACGAGCCAGGTCCCGGCATACGCCGTTCAATAACGTCAAGGTCGTCATCGTCGGCCAGGACCCCTACCACAACGTGAACCAAGCCCATGGCATGGCCTTTTCCGTGCGCCCGCCCACGCCTGCGCCGCCGTCGCTCAAGAACATGTATAAAGCGTTGAAGAAGGACTACCCTTCCTTTGTGCCGCCGCCGAACAATGGTGGCCTGCTCATTCCATGGGCCGACCGCGGCGTGCTTATGCTCAATACCTGCCTTACGGTTCGCGCACACGAAGCCAACTCGCACTCCAACCGAGGTTGGGAGCGCTTCACCCAAAGGGTCATTGACCTTGTTGCGCAGAAGCGGACACGAGGTGTCGTGTTCATGGCTTGGGGCACTCCGGCTGGAAAGCGAGTGCAGAAAGTGGATAAGAGTCGCCACCTTATCCTACAGAGCGTCCATCCCAGCCCCTTGAGTGCGTCTCGCGGCTTCTTCGACTGCGGACACTTCAAAGCTGCAAACGAGTGGCTTATTAAGAGGTACGGCGATGACGGTGAGATTGACTGGGCGTTGACTCCGAGCACGTCCACCAAGAAGGCTGTGCCACTGGCAACAGTGGACGAGCCAAACCCAAAGACAAACGGAGCATCCTCGCCTGTGGTAGTGCCGAAAGACGAGCCAAAGGATGAGCCGAAGGTCACATTGAAGAAGGACGAGCCGAAGGCCACGCTGAAGGCCGATGACGACTTTGGCTCTGACGATGAGGCGGCCCTTGAGGAAGCCCTCAAGCAGGCCGAGGAGGACGCGCAGAAGTAACGCGACCACGACTTCAACGGCGGTCTCTTTTGGCATGCCGTATGGATGATGAATGTTCGGGACAGGAGGCCACCATGCCCGAGGCCAGGAATAGTTAGGACGGGCTCTTCGATTTGTACGATAGTCGCGACTGGTGAGCGTGTAGCAGTAGTTGACAAATGTGGGCTTCAAATCGGATCTGTACCGGCTTTGCAACTGTGCATGGTTCGGATCGGGGTGCATGCATGGTGAGGAGCAGCACGGAGCAGCCGATAGACACCACGCCTGGCCAGCCTGCGACTACCCGTGCATTCGATATACACATCGCCTTGCATCTGGCGCATCGGATCGCGCAGAAGAGCGACGGGCGGTGCATGATTCATGCTCCGTGGCTGCAGCGCATCCGGCGGCGCCAGCTCATCATGCACAGAGGGCCGGCAAGCCTGGCACGCTGGGGCGCCAATGAGCTGGCGGCAGAGGGCGACGACCGGGGGAGGCTCGGGGGCGGTGACAGTCGCCAGCTCATACCTGCAGCACGCGCTGTGTCCGTCACCACCATCACCACACGAAAGCTGTTCCGTACAGGGGACCGATGGCCAAGAACAGATATGCCTTACTCACGTCGTTTCCGGGGACAGACCTTACGAGGCACGTTCGATGTTCCATGGTGTAGCATGTCGGAACGGCGTCTGCTACCAACTGAAACGGCATGGTGTCGCTGGCCAGTCGAACGAAGCATTCGATGCGCGACGCCCGTCAGAATGAGGTCGATAAAGTTGTCGAGACGTCATTGACGCGATGCGTCTCGACGGGAGAGCGTCTGCAATGCAAGGCTCTATACTCGTACGTCAGGTGCTGCAGGCGGGAGACGCTTTCGACGGGCATCGGCCGGTCGAAGTTCCCGTGGCCCTAGCGCAGGCCTTGGCAGGCCAATGACACCGGAGGCTGCTGGAAAGTCGCGTCTATCCGGCACTTGATTTGCCCCTGGCAGCCTAATGAGGCGCGCGGGACACAGGCACAGCGCTCCGGCTTCACGGCCAAGACGAGGACAGGCAGCGCGAATCCGGGCCATGGCGCCATCGGGTGTGACCGTCCACGGGCGTAGCAACAGATATGATGATTGAATCAAATAGCAACCAAAAAGAAGCTGGGAGGCGGAAATTGGGACGTCACTCAGAGAGTGGTGAGACATTGCGGTCGACCTGCACGAGCGTGACGTACCTGGTGAGCCTGAGAACGAGGACCCTGGCTCCCGGACGGCAGACGCGGCGCGAGGCGAGAGCTGCTGCCCTGCCGTGCCGATTTAGGGTCGGGAGGACGGCTGGCCGCGATGACGGTGTCCCGAGGCGCACGCAAGGCTACGTCGGGACGCACAGGCTCGACGTTCGCCAAGACAAAACGAGGCAGACGTGGAGCCGCTCCGACCGAGATGAGAGCCATCATGGGACGGGCTGGCGGTGCGACGCGACAACGAGGACGGGAGCCGGGGAGGCGGGCGGGCGGACGATGGGGCAGATGGGCAGTGACGATGATGCGCGGACCGCCCGCGCGACAGGCGAAAAGCACGGGCGAAGTCAACCTTGCTTTCCCCCACAGTGATCATCTCGGGTCGAATGCAGGTGCGGCGTCGGGAAGAAGGAAAATGGCAGGGCTGGGCGCATCGACGACTGGCAGACAGGTCACGGACCTCTTGGTGCTGGTACTGAGGGACAGCAGAACTGGTGCTGGCATCCGCGGATGGAGGCTCGGCAAGGCCTCAGGTGGGTTCCAGATGGCCGGGCGCGTCTGAAGCGTCTGGGAGCCCGTCGATTGATTGCTGCTGCTGGTGTCGTTGCAACAGTGGTGGTCTGCCAACAACGGTGGCCTTGACAGCGGCCCTGGCGCGCGCCGGACCCCACCTTCGGTGCCATCCAATCCATCCCATCCATCCGTCAACCTGGAACTTGCAATTGAGCCCAGCGAATAGGTCCGGCACAGCCCACCTCGAGCTGGCTGGCAGCTGGAGCCCAATGACCAGTGGATTGGACAGAGTGCACCACAGCAGGCCACCCGCCCGCCGCACTGGCCGCGCGCACTGCCCGAGTGAGGTTGGCAGCCCCTTCACGGCTCAGGTCCCCCCCAAGGCAGCTACTGTCCAGGTACCGATGCGGCGTCGCATCATGGCGGGGGTACCAATTCCTGGTCTCTTATACACATCTAGATGTGTATAAGAGACAGGTCCATCTCCAACCCAACCCAATGGATGGGTCCCCTTCTCGTCGCTCGCTCGCCCATCAACAAGCCACCCTCCGCGATGGCCCTCCCAGCCCAGCCCAGCCCAGCGCCCAGCCCAAAATGAGGTATCCGTCGTCCCAAATGCCCGCGCCCAATCTCAGCCGGCGAGGAACAGACCTCCCAGGTTGGCCCCCTGTCGCGCGCCGTCACATCAAGTCCAAGCCCGTCCATCCCATCGGCCCCTGACGGGGTCTTCCAGGTTGTTCACACACACGCCCGGCGATACTTGGACCCAGTCTCCTTTCTTCTCCTCCCACCTTTTCTCGTCCCCCCCGCGGTCTCGCTTCGCTCGCGCTGTCCATTCACTCACCTGGGCTGATGCTGGCAAATCCCAGCTCCTTGCTCCAGACAGCCTCCACGTTCCCCTTCATCGACGTTCCGACCCGCTGCCGCTCTCTTTCATCATTTCCATCCACTCACTGCCTTTCCTTCCCGAACCTACCTTAATACTTACCTTATTCAACACGCCGAGCACTGAACGGCATAAACGCCAGACAAGCGCCCCTCCTTCACCACTTACACCCGCCGCAGCGCGAGCGAGCCTCGTGGGACCAAATTTATCAGACAGCCCGTCTGTTTCACCCGCATCAAGCTCTTCACGCGGCCTCCCCACGCATTCATACCGTTTTTTCTCGAGCGCACACGGTTCAAGGCAGGCGTTGCTTTTTCGTCTCTTCCTTTTCCCGTACCGTACCTTGCCGTGGTATACTACTGTGCGCGCACGCTGCTGGAAGCCAGTCACGGGATCGGCGACCAGCTGTCCACCACCGCCCGGCCTGCCCCCTATTGCCTCCAGTTGTGTAATTTCGCCCGCCTCGGCGACTGCGACTGCCACTTCGCCTTTCGCCTTTTGTTCCCATCCACCACGCCCGCGCAGTCAGCTCGCCTCTTTTGCGCCCTCTCCACTGTCGTCTTCTCGCCACCTCCAGCGCCTGGGGTATCTCGAGCATCAGACGCCTGCCTGCCATGCCGGGTCTCTTTTCTCGCCTCAAGGCGCGAGACGGCCTGCGGCTCAAAAAGAAGCAGGCGGGCGCCGACCTGGTCAGCGCGCTGCCCGCGAAGCCAAAGTGGGATGATGCGTACACGCGCAAGACGGTCGAGCCCGAGGAGATTCACGAGCTCCTCCACTACTGCACCGAGGAGCTCAAGGCGCGAGGTATGTAGCCAAATATCCCACACCCCACCGTATTTGGGTTTGACCCCAGACTTTGGCCATGGCTAATCCACATCTCGTATTGCAGGCCTCGATCTTCCTTTCCTCCTCCTGCCCTTTCGCCCGACCTCCGACCCGAGCGCCGTGCGCACCTTTGTCAGACACTTTTTCGACCATGGCTACGCCCTCAGGGGCGAAACGCTGGTCCAGGAGCTTCGCATGACCGAGCCCATGGTAAGCCCGACCGCTGCGCCCAACCTACGAGCCCATGTTCACGCCTGTCCATAGGTTATATCTGGAGTTGTTAAGTGGTGCTGGAGCCGAGTCCAAGGTGGCGTCGTTGGCTGGGACGCCTATGAGCTATTCAAGGTTGGAGAGTTTGGTATGACCGAATCGCCCATCCATCCTTCCCCCGTCCGTTTGGTCCATTCGCTCATGATCGTCAAGACTCCCACAAGGCCAGAGACTCGTTCAAGACATTCATTCCAATCAGTGTGGAGAATGGGGCCAGGCAGCGCATCATCTTCGACTTTTTTGACTTGATCGCCGCCGTTGCCGCACATGGCAAGTCAAACGGTTTCGGAGGCTGGCAGTTGTCTCGCATGGCCGCCTGGTGGGCCTTTGAGCACAAAGACACCGGCAGTGGCTTCGATGGCGGCTACAAGGCGTGGCTGAGGTCAGGATCACGACCCCAACAGCCGTGTAACGGAACCACGTGGTGCTAACAAGCTGCAGTGCCGCCGATGCCACGAGCCACCTATTCTTCGCCTACCTCAGGTCACTAACACCAGAGCAGAGCCCGACCGGAATCTCCCTGCTGCCCAGATCACTCGAGAAGCTACTCAAGGACACCGAGTACCCACCTCCCAGGTCCCAGGGGATGATGACCAGCACCAACAAGCTGGTAATGATGGTCGATGCCGTTTCTCCCACCCCGTTCGCATTGCTTCGCCGAGCCGGCCATTTCCAATATCGCGACACGGATCGGGGTCTGCAAGAATTCTCCAACTACGAGGACCCGGTCAAGGCTCTGACCGAGGAGTGCCTCCGGGTTCTCAAGGCCATCTCAGCCGCGAACCAGTCGCAAGCATCTAGTGCCAAGCACTCCACCAGCCTGCGGGATGCGTCTTGGTCGCGCTTCGAGGACATGGGCTTCAGCACTCCCCTGGCTGAGGAGGATGAGGACACTGACGAGAATGGCTCATCTGCGAGGCACCCCCAGACCATGCGCCGTACCGCTGCATCCGGAAACGACCTCGGGCGGCCGACGACTCCATCCTGGGCCGATTTCCTGTCGTCAGGCTTCGTGGATGACACCGGTGGCCGATCAAACTTGCTTCTTCCTCCGGACAAGGTCTTGCCACCTATCGAGACGGGCATCCGACAGCATAGCTCGTCCCAGTCCCATAGGCCACGACTCGAATCGGATCGTCATCTCGAGCCTGGTGAGCTTGCTAGTATTACCATCATTGAACTTGATGACGCCTTCTGGTGGGTATGGATGAGCAGCCTCGCTCCTGAGGAGACTGCCGAGAGAAAGTCTGCGTTTGGCAGATGCGCGTTGATCGAGACAAAGATCTACGGTGCTCGTTGGATCGTGATGGAGGAGATGGTCGCTGGCGCGGCGCCTGAACCACAGGAGGGCGCCTACATCGCCGAGAAGAAGAGCTTCTTCAGCTGGACGAAGCGAAGCAAGACCCTTCGGCGCAAGTCGATTGGGAAACACGCACTGGAACGGGGCGAAAGTAACGGCACCAGCTTCGCAGACAGCAAGACGACCCTTGGCGGTGAAACCCACGCACGAGTCCAGGCCAAGGCGGCTCAGCTTCGCGCCATGAAAGACAAGGAACAGCAGGCCGCTTCTCAGGTCACCCAGCGCCGCGGTCGCACGGACGCGGAGCTTCTGGCGGAGAAGACTAACAGTGTTTTCACGCTCCAGCCTCACATTGTCGGCGAGGCATCGTCCGCCATGAAATGGGTCAAGAAGTACGATAAGGGCGCTATCAAGGATGCCTACATGGCGAACAGCAGCGCCGGCCGTGGGCTCGCCGTTTCTCCTGCCCCCTCCGAGCATACCAACGGTGCCTCTGCCGCCAATGGGTCTGTTGCTAATGGCTCGGTTGCTGCGGGTATGAATGGTCACAGCCCCGCCGAACAGATCGGACCAGAGGTGCCTGTCAAAGACGCCGCCGTGGCTGCTTCGACGTCCTCGGTCCGCCGAGACTCTGTCCAGTCGCCGCCTCCGGAGGCAAAGGAGACACCTAAGCAGCCGATGCCGGAGCCTGTCGAGCAACCGAACAGCCCTGTGCCGCCACCCAAAGACACGACAGCTCCCATTGTAGCTGCGGTCGAGACCGAGGAGCACAACGTCCTGCCAGAGAGTCCAAAGTCGCCAAAGGTGGCGTTCCAGGCCACTAAGGAAAAGTCTGGACTGCGCAAGCTGTTCGCCAGGAAGCAACGGGCGTCGAAGCTGCCAGACAATGCTACCACGGACGTGAACGAGATGCTGCGAGAAGCTCAACAAACTCCCGAGCCCGCCGTGCAGCAGACGCCAACTCCAGCAGCTACCCCGTCGCGATCCATCGATGAAGAGTCAGCCGCGCGCACCTCGGTTGACCCAGCCAACCCAGCGGCACTCACGCCTCGCGAGATGGTGACCCCTCCAGCTCAGGACTCTGATGTCTCTAGAGCGGGTGGGCAGACTCGCTCGGATGGCGGTGCTGCCGAGGCAGAGGCCGAGTTCTCCCGCTTCGATCAAGGGCCCTTGGCCGATCAGCCTGCGTTTGCGCCCGACGACGACGAGGACGATGCCACCCCTCCCCCGATCGCCCGTCATCCTATCCGTCAAGCATCGCCTGCTGCGCCAGAGACACCCAAAGAGGAGCTGAGCCAGAGCGCCAGCCCAGGAGTACAGGATCGATGGGCCCAGATCCGAAAGAACGCTGCGCAGAGGGCCGCAGTTCGCCCCAAGGACGACACCACCCGAGGCAGCCCCACCCGAACCGGCGATGGCGACGACGACACAAGCGGAGAAGAGAGTGAGTGTTTTGAAGTTGCGGAAGCAGAGGGGGCCTTTGCTAATAACGCTACAGCAATCGAATCGAGAGTCGCTCGCATCAAGGCCCGCGTTGCCGAGCTGACGGGCAACATGGAAGACAGCAGTGCACCCCATGGAGCGCAGAATCGACGTTAGAAACGATCGCCTTTCAAATGAAGCAATGAGAGCCGGCGAACATTCTTGCCTCAAGTCGACAGCACTTCCGCGCGGGTCACAACCAAACTCCTCAATCATTGCCGACTATCGGCGCGACCTGTTGTTTTCTGACGTTTTAGCCCACCACACATAATGCGAACCGTCGCGTCTCGTTTGTCCGGGCTTGATTTCGGCCAGCTTTCTTGCTTTTTTTTTTCGATCACACATGATACCACGGACGGCAGACACGGTCATGGGAGCCAAAGCCGAGTTATCGGAGGATTTGATACCAGTAGTGTCGAGGCTTGTCTTTTATTTGGCCTTTGTCCCCCCTTGATCCTTTTTGCTATTGCTATCGTTTCTTTCATCTTACGCTCGCGGGCGATTACTCGCCATTTCTCCCGTTTCTCGCCGCAAAGAGAGCAATTGAGGTTGAACACACAAAAAGGGAAGACGTGACACAGATCACAAGCCTGCTGTTATTGGAATTTGATACGTAGATGCCAGAGAATGGAATCCGATACGCGTGGGTCCGCGCTCATTTTCTCTTACTTTGTAATGTGTGGTGTGTAGGTTTTATCATGCATTTCGAAGAACTCGTGGGTTCCCGTGTCCTCATTCGTGTATCTCGTGTATATATATATATATGTGCTAGTCCTCGTCGTCGTCGTCCATGTCCACCATGGTGATGCCCACCGGCCCATCCGAGTCTGAGTCCTCCGGGTCGGTCGAGTCGGGCGTCACTTGGCGCGTCTTTTGCTTGGGCGGCGCTCCCACGGGGCGCCGGGCCAGGCGAGGCTCGGCGTCGAACTCGTCAGGCGGCGGGTTCGAGCGCCTCGTGGGCAACGCGGGGGGCGGCGGGTCGTCGGCCTGCGTGGGCGGGTGTTGCGGCTGCGACGAGGTGTCGGTGCTGGAGGCCCCGACGGGGCGTCTGGGAATGGGCGAGTTGGGTTCATGCGACGGGGAGAGGGCCGGGGGCGATATGGTCAGGCCGCGGAGGTCGTTGGTCATGTTGCTCCCCTTCCGCTTGGTGTCTTTGGCAGAGTCCGAGGGCGGCACGGCGTCAAAGTCTAGGAGGTTGCCCTCGGCGGCCTGGTCCTTCATGCGGATAACGTCGTCCTTTTCGATGTCACCGCCGGCGCGCACGCCGACAAAGCCGCACATGCGGAGGATCTCGCCCGTCAGCTCGGGGTAGCGCAGATGACCGCTGACGCGCTCGCTCAGGTCGACGTTCTCGAGGCCCTCCACGCCGGTGATGGGCTGCAGGCCGGCAACGCCGAGGGCGAGGCTGTGCATGCGGTAGACGAAGCCGAGGACCATGTCGTTCTCCGAGTAGACGTTGAAGACGCGGCCGGAGACGACGGGTCGCAGGGAGCGCCAGTGGGCGGGGGATGACGGCGCGGGGGCGCCGATGAGGACCACGTCGGCGACGAGGCCGAAGGCGTGGCGCTCGGCGAGGGACTGCAGGCAGGCGTGGATGGCGGCGGCGCCGAGGGAGTAGCCCACGAGGGTGACGGGGCGCTCGCCCTGGACGCGGTTGATGAGGGCGTCGGCGAGGAGGCGGCCGGCCTTGTGGGAGCGGTTGCTGGCGCGGCTAAAGGGGTTGTCGACGTTGGACGCCGCGGCGAGGATCTGGATCGGCCAGAGGGCCGCCCAGAGCGTGGCCAGGACGGTGCGCTTGATGACCTCGACCTTGAAGGCCTTCCACGCAAAGGACCCGACCAGGTCCTGCAGCGCGGTGCCCAGCGCCAGGAGCGTCTTCATCTCGTACCGTAGCGCGAACACCTCCGAGTCGTTGCTGAGCACGCGCCACGGCCGGGCCACGTCGGCCTCGGAGTTGAGCCACCCGTTGATGCCGATAGTGACGCGCAGGCGACGTTGATCCTGCTGCTGCTGCTGCTGCTGCTGCTGCTTGTTCTGCTGCTGCCCTGATGGCCTCCCGTCCTTTGAGGGCGGCGGTGTTTTGCAGTCTTCGCCCCATTCCTCGGCGAGGGGGATGAAGCGAAAGTCCTCGACCTCTTTGGCGTAGCTGTCCATCATTTCACCCTGCGGGGAGCTCATGTCAGTCTCTCATTACGACATCACGAGAAGATGAGTTCCGTCCACGTACCGTCATCTTGGCTCCGTATGCGCCAAAGAGCGCGCCGACCAGAGCGCCATTCATCCAAAAGATGCCCAGGAAACTCGCCACACCACCCAAGCCCACGCCGCCCATGATGCCGCCGATCGCGCCGGCCACCAGCGGCGCCGCGAGCCCGCCCGTGACGCCAATGACCGCCGCGCCCGCCACCGACGCCAGGCCAACCTTCCAGAAGCGGCTCACCTTGTTCTCCTGCCTGCGCTTGGCGGCCTCCGCCTCCGCCGACATGGTCTCCTTCTGGCCCTTGTCGGCGGTGGAGTTCTCCATGAGCGAGTGCGCAATCTCAGCCTCCTCGCCGTTGACGAACGTCTGCGGCAGCTCCAGCGCGGAGGCGAGGTAGAGGACCAAGGCGCGCGAGTGGGCCGAGTACCTCCCCGTGGAGAGCAGCAGCAGCAGGACGCAGCTCAGGGCCTCGCGGCGGTCCTCGGGCGGGATGGTGGTGAGGCGCGTGGGGATGGGGTGGTAGAGGGCCTGCAGCGAGGCGACGTCGTCGGAGCGCGTGAGCTGCGCGCCGCTGCCGCCGAAGCTGATGAGGTCCTCGCCGTGCTCGGGCGTGTCGAGCTTCTTCTTGTCCATGGCGTCGCGGCGCGTCTGCCGCTCGGCGCGGATCTTGTCGTTTTCCTCGACCTTGACGATCTCGGCGAGCTTGGGGCGGAACTCGTCCCTCCATTCCTTGATGTGCTTGACGGCGGCGACCTGGACGCGCTGCGCCTGCCGAGTCTCCTTTTCGCTGGGCTTCTGCTGCTGCTGTTTTTGCCCTTTTTTCTGCTGCTGGGTGTCCCTCGAGTCCCAATCCTCCTGCCACGCGTCCCACGCATCGCCGCCGTCATCGTCTTTGGAGGAGACCTTGGTGTGCCGGCTGGTCGCGTACTCGTCCGAGTCGTCAATGTCCGCCGGCGCCAGAGACCCGAGATCATCGGCTGATGTCTCAATCTGTGAGATCATATACTCGACAATTTCATCCACGAGGCGCAGGAGGGCCTGCCGCCGGGCCGGGTTGAGGGCGATGACGACCTGCCGCGGGTCGGCGCACAGTGGAGCCATGGCTGGCGGCGATGCTCCGCGAGGTTCCCCGCGTGTTTTGCGTCGTCTTGCCCCTCCCGTCTGTAGTGGCGTCTGTCCAAAGGGAATTGCTGCTGCAATTTGAAGGATTGGGCGGCTGCGCAGGGGAAGAAGCGTGATGTTGATGGGGGAAAGGTGGCGACGGTGGTGGTAGTGTTTGTCGTATTAACTCGTAAGCGCGTTGGGTCGGCAATGCCCTTTTTAAGTGAGGGGGACATCACTGCAGGCAGCCTCCTGCAGGATACTGACCGACGTGGACGGATGCCTGTCACCTCTGCGCTCCCTCAACCCATTGCGCCAACCGAAACGACACGTCGCGTTTTACAAAGGCGCGGAGACAGACTTCTTCTTCTTTGCGTTGCGAAATGGATTTTGGGCTCGAGCCTTTGCCTGGCAGGATCAATGTCGTCTTGCTTCCACCGTCGCGCCACATGAAGACCCACGACAGATGGACCTCATAAACGCATTTGCAAGCACCTACATGAGAGCGTTCGCAGTGCACCTAGTTATTCATGAATCGAGACCGGGGTAGCAAAAGGTTAAGGTGTATCGCCGAGGGAGGATTCGCATTTGCGACGTTGATGTCCGTACCAGTAGCGTGGCCACACACGTCTGCCGCTGTCCCTGGCTGACAGGGACATCGCGGGAGTGCAACGCACGCCATGAACCACAGACGCTGTGAGGCATCTCTAGTATCTCAACAAGTTATATGAGCATCTTACACGGCACCAGTCTCTATAGCTCGTAAATGTAGAAAGGCAAGGCGTATATATAAGCGCTGTGTTTGAGGTCCTTCCCTGGCATGACGCCGGAGTCATAAGGGCAAAGCCTCCTTGCTCGCCTTATTACCTCAATATTATAGATTTATACTTTACGCTTAAAAGAATTAAGGCCGTGTACATCAATGGTTGCTACATGAGTGACTGCGCGTAAGCTAAAGCCGCTTAGCGTGGGATAAATGAAGCACGTTATTAGAACGCGTGCACACGGGGAGTTGCCTACATGTATTCAGCGTAGAAAAAACTCCGTTTGCACTCCGTTACCTAGAAACCGCGGCTATTTTATGCCGCTACCGGGCATTCACTTCACTGCTTAGTCTTATTTCGCTTTCTCGTTCCGCACCCTCGATCGATTCTTACTCCTCCGGCAGTCACATTACCACCGCTACCAGTACGACGCACGATCAGTGCATAGCTTATATCTCACTACGCAACGGGCCTGGCCGTGATCTGAGGTTCAGAGATCAACTGACTGTCGGATACTGGTGTCCGCGTGGAGTACTTCCGGCACAATGTCCGGTCAGGAGGTGTCGCCCTCGGGCGCATACGACCCTCTGTATCCCGAGCCGGTCGAGAACGTCTATCATAGGCGCAAGATGTTCGAATTTCGCGAAAGATACGAGCCGATCTTTGCCCGTCTACCAGAGCCAGTCAAGCGGGAGGCCATGGCGGCAATCAAGGCCATTGCAAAGAGGAAGTATAACGGTTCCCCATCCGACATCCCGTGGTGTCGGGCAAGAAAGTCGACATCGGCACTTCATCGGTGCTGGGCCATTGGTTCGGCCGCATAAAGCTCTACGACAGCCGCCTCACGTATATGGCTGCGCTCAACGACGACTTCTTGGACGACATCCCTGAAAACCCGGTGGTCACGCACGAATCCCGCAACCAGATCAGATGCCGCCTCAACAGCACAAACATACCAGACGCGTCCCCTGCGAGTCCGTCCCCAGCAACCAGCGAGGGCATGGACGATCCTTCTGGTTCCGCGCATTCAGACTCGGATGGCAGTGGCAATTCCAAACGCAAGATTGAGACAAGAAGCTCCAAGAAGTCGTTGGGGGGTCTGGCTGAACCTACGACTCGCAGCGCGGCAAATCGAACCCCGATTCAGAATCAAAAAAAGCGATCCGCCATTCCGGAGCCATCTGTCTCCACGCGGAAGAAGCGGCAGCGGGGCCCAGGCGCGGCCGCTCATCATCCATCGACTACCCAACGTGGCGAGGACGCAACGGCGAGCGTGGGCGACCAGGGCAGCCAAGAGAATGATGTCGTCAAACTCAAAGTCAAACTTAGGAAGGCAGAGGCCGTTAACGACCATCTGGAGGCAAAAGTGATCGGGGAGGGGCAGGAAATTATGGCTCTGAAAGAACGAGAGAAGTCGACTGGCGAAAACCTCGATCATATTCGGGAGGAGAATGCCAAACTGCAGACTCAGCTTAAGACAGCTGAGGAAGAGCGGAATGGCGCACAGGAGGAATTCAACAGGCTTAATGATCTGGTACGAGCCCGGCTTGAAGAGTCACGTCGGGCAATCGGTGAGGCCATTCAGGGAACCCATGGTCTCTCGCTCGTTGTCGACGGTATTAAGAGCGTGTTGCCTCCGCGACAGAACGACACATAGTGGGCTCGATTGACTGAGGTTCACGGATGAGGGAAAGTCGAGAAGAAGGCCCTTGGGGGCATCAAGTGTTTCCTGGTGGCTCGGCATGGACTCTACCGGAGGAGGATTCGTGGCTTGGTATGGGTCGGGGCGCTTCAACCAGGAGGCAGAACTATGAGGGGCGATCCTGCCTACTGGGTAGGTACGAGGAAACCTTGGGTGGTGGTGTAAGTGTAGAGGGTCAAGAGAATTGACCACCGTCCCGATCGGTCCATCGCTTTGGGTCCATCATTTTCCGCGTGAGACGCAGTTGCCCTCGCATAGTGGTACATTGAAAGAATCCCCATTAGAACTTGTCCGCCCTCCTTCGCGCAGTGGAAGTTGTCTACAACTCAATGGTAACGCGCCCATGTCACCACGGCGCGGGGGCTGCTTTGGCCAAGGGCAGTACAAGATGGGGTGAATGACCAGACTGCTAGAGGACAAACCCAGACAACTCAACTAATGGCTGTCCTTTGAAGAAGCGCCGTGCTGAAATTTCTCTTTTCCCACAACACAGAGGTTCATGGTGGCATTGTCGACACCGAGCCTGTAAAGTTACCTCTGTATTTTTCTACTCTGATATCATCTGCTTCTGCTCCAGACCGGTAGGGAAAATGATCATGACCTTGATCATCTGCGTCCGGACCGGGAATAGCTGGTGGTTCATCGCAGATCCTGGCACACCTGGACATTGAACACGCCCGTTCACCACAGTCGCGCCTCCGTTTGCCTCCGGTGCCTGGGCAACACGCTCGCCGCCTGCGACTGTTCACGGAGTATAAATTTCCTGGAACAGCGAGCACTCGAGAGCCCCATTCCTCCTTCCTACATCATTCTCACCACCACCTCGCCTCGCCCTCTCCGCTTCCCTCCCGCATCAACTTCAAGCCTCAGAACGGCCCTCGCCCGCGAGCGTTCTGCAAGATGGCGGAACAGCCGTCGCTGCGCACGTACGACCCTCTCTATCCAGAGCCAGTTGAGAACAAGTATCTCCTGGGCAGGATGTTCGAATTCCGTGACGCTTTCGAGCCCGTTTTCGCCCGTCAGACGGCGAAAGTGAAACGTCAGGCGGCCCTGGCACTTATTGAGATATCGTGCACGAGCTACACTGTCTCCCCATCGAATCTCCCATGGTACCGCACCAAGAGCAGGAAGACAGTCAATGCCGGAACGTTTTTGGTGCTGGGAAATTGGCTCGGCAAGTCGAAGGTAGACGACAAACGTCTCCACTACACCCCGAGCGATGAGCTCCTCAAGGACATATCTGCAAACCCCTTCATCACCCACGAGCCCGACCACCGCGTCAAGAAACGCCTCATGACGGCCGCTAAGGGTCCGAACACTGCGTTGACGTCGCAGAACACTTTGGTGTCCAAGGAGCCTTCTACATCTGCCTCGCGGATCAACAAGGGCAAATGCAAGAGACCAAACGCCATGAAACCCTCTGGCGTTTTGCCAGGACAGCGCCCGGCAAAGCGGCTTGCGAGGGTTGAGCTACCTGTCAAATCAAAACGCCAGAAGGGTGCGACCAAGAACGCGACAGAACACGAAGAAGCCACTAAGTGCCTTGAGAAAAAGAGCATACATGGAAAAGTGAAGGCACAGGGAGGCTCGGGCAGTGCGCTCTACGAGATTAGGCAAAAGTTGAAACTGGCTCGTAAGAACGCCCGTGAAGTCAAAGTGCTACGATCGGCACTTGCTCGAGCGCAGAACGAGAGGATCACGCACTTTCGGAACTGAAGATCAGTCGCGCTGCAAGAACCGAAGCTGGCTCAGCTCCTAATGACGAAGTTGGCCGCGCGCATATCGCAGGCGCTAGAACGGCGGTCGATCAGTTTCGGGACGGCCCGTACATGGAGCGGATGATAGCCGATATCATAAAGGAATCAGGCCGTTCTTACATAAAACGCCTGTTGGACGAGAGCCTTGAACTGATTTGGCGCCAAATCATGCCAGACGAGAGCATTGCGAATGCAGTCGATGCTGCGTTTAGCGGCTAGGACGACGAGTACGATCATCTACCTCTGGTTAGTGTGGAGGATTGTGGTGTGGTGGGTGTTCGAGAGGTTGGCGAGGCTGGTTGAGCGCGTGTCACAATGGCGACAAACGAGTTGGTATCGAGGTTTTTAGTGGAGGAGGAACGTTCTTGAGGTACTTGGTAGCCATCTCGAACTGGCAGGGAATTGGCCATCATCTCATTATTCGTCGCATTCACCTCCCGTTCATTGCCCCACTGGGAACAGCTCACGAATATCGCACAACGGAACATTGGCAAGTCTTCGTTCCTCCTTCACAATTTGGGCATGTGGCTGCAACTCAACGTTGACGCACCCAAGTCGCGACGGCGCGGGGCAGCGGCCAACGGGATGCCGAACAGGTACCCGAGACGCCGATGGACGCGGGCTCCACAAGCGGGCCAGTGTCGGCCGGCCGTTGTGGGGGCGTTGTTCGCCCTGTGAGGCGGGGGGCGAGGGGGCACATCTCCGGGAGGGTCGGAGGCGCCTGAGGAGTGATTGCCGCCGGCACTCCGCTGAAGAGCCCCCAGGGGCGGCTTCCACTCGTTGAAAGAGCCCCGGAGGGCTGCCGGTGAGGGGGGATGCATTGGCATTCGCCGGGTATTCTACTCTTCCATGCGCGGGGGAGGGGCGGGGCGTTTGCCTCGTCGCCTGTCATTCAGGTAGGCTGGCATTATTAGCTGTTGTGCCATTTTTTTATGCTTGATAGCCGTTGGGGGCCGTGCATGTCGCGTGCATGGGGTGGGAATTCAATCGGCGGCCGGCTTCGTCCGTCAGGCGCGGCGTCGGCGTCAATTGCCAGTTTCCCGCGACGCCCATGACGACACCACGCAGGGAATTGCCGTCTGGAATCTTACTGCCCCTGCAGATTGGCGACTGGTGACTCCAACGGCGACGAGATGGAAAAAACCCGACAGGGGTTGTTTTGCGCTGCACATTTTTTCGCTGCGCGTTTCCAAATGCCCGTGACGGCGGGCGCAGGGTAGCTGTGGGCAAGTTCACGATACCCTTTGGCGGCTTGACGCCACTGGCGCGAGCAGCTGCCACCCATCCCTGAACCGGCGTCCTGCAACGCCGACTCGTCCTTCGCGGCAGCGTCATTCAGCCGCAGGCATTCGCCCAGGCGGCCCCGGAGATCCAGACAGACGACGGGACCTTCGGACGCGAGACGCCGCGATGCTTGCCCGCCATGGATGGGATGTCATGGCTGAACGACCATCTTCATCGCCCGCACTTTTCTATAAGTAGTGGAGGGCAGTCCGGCTGGACTCCAAACAATCATCATCACCACCATCACCATCATCACCACACTCTCACCACACCCGCACAGCATCACCATCTAATCCCCGGCCGAACTCGCCAATGCGACCCTTCTTCAGACAGACCCGAGCCGCCTTCAACCAGATCCAACGCGCCAACATGACCACCTCCACCCAGCAGCTGCCCAAGCGGATCCGCGCCGTCCTCCAGCCGGACCCCGCGACCGACAAGCTCGTCCTCGGCGAGACGGACCTGCCCGTGCCCAAGCCGGGCGACACCGAGGAGCACCTCGTCCAGATCAAGGGCACGTCGCCCTGCCTCAGCGAGCTGTCGTGGGAGCGCAACTTCCCCGACGTCTTCAACACGGGCCGCGAGCGCGTCCCCGGCACCGAGGGCGCTGGCATCATCGTCACCTCGCCCGCCGGCTCGCCCTTCAAGCCCGGCGACGAGGTCTACTTCCGCAACAACGCCAACCGCCGCGGCTGCCTCAGCGACTACACCCTCATCACCAAGAGCAGCCTCGCCCTCAAGCCCAAGACCCAGAGCTGGGTCGAGGCCTCGTGCACGCCCCTCAGCTCCCTGACCGCCTACCAGGCCCTGTTTGAGCACGGCGGCCTCGACCCCAAGGCCATCTCCACCCAGGGCGGCGACCCCAAGGCCCGCGAGGCCAACGCCAAGCGCAGGGTCCTCATCACCGCCGCTGGCGGCTCCGTCGGCGGCTGGGCCGTCACCCTCGCTTCGGCCGCCGGCGCAGGCGCCGTCATCGCCGTCTCCGGCCCCCACGGCAAGGAGGAGGTCCTCAAGGCCGGCGCCACCGAGATCGTCGACTACACCCAGCAGTCGGTCGACCAGTGGGCGGCGCAGGACCCCGCGCGCCAGTGCGACCTCGTCTTCGACTGCGTCGGCGGGAGCTCCCTCGCCGGCTGCTGGGCGGCCGTCAAGGACGGCGGCATCCTGCTCAGCGTCTCCGACTCGCCCGACCGCGTCAGGCCCGAGTCGGCCGCCAACAAGAAGCCCGCCGTCGCCAAGTGGTTCCTCGTCGACCCGCGCGGCAGCGACCTGGGCGAGATCACCAAGATTGTCGACGCCGGCATGGGCAAGCCCCAGATCGACAGCGCCGTCCCCTTTGAGGAGTTTGCGGCGGCGTACCAAAAGGTCGACGGGCGCAAGGCCAGGGGCAAGGTCGTCATCAAGGTGACCGAGTAATGACAGGACGGCGGCGTGCTCTACGGGGGGACGTGATACTTAATGGGCCACGAAAATGGGCGCAAGGAGCAGTCCTGCGCCATGCCAATTGGCTGCTCCGGGATGTTGTTTGAAATATCTAGCGACGCAGATTAATGAACAAAAGAATTTAATGAGATAGCCAGACATGCCCTCGCCGTGCAGAGTGACAAACTTGGTGGCTATTCAGGGTCCGGATTTGAGGAGTACCACCCGGCAGCGGGTTCTGGTAGCAAAAGTGTTAGTGCACCAGACCAAACTCCCGATAAGATGTCGCCCCGCAAAAAAATTTCCCAGCCTCTGGCCAGCCGTCCAGCGCCAAACTGCTGGACCCCGACAACTCTCGCCATCCCACCGCTTCAAAGGCTTCATTCTTTCCCGTTGTACGGCACGAACTAGCCCGACAGTACATGGAGACCATCCGTCGCAGGCAATAGCAAGCCGCACACACCGCTGCACGCGCGCGCAGCAGCCAACCCGCGATGGACGCCCGCGCCCTCCTCACCTCGCAGGGCTGGCGCGGCACCGGCCACTCCCTCCACAAGACCGACGACGCCATCGGCCTGTCCAAGCCCCTGCTGCTGTCGCGCAAGGACGACACGCGTGGCCTTGGCACGAAACAACACTTTACGAGCGACCAGTGGTGGATGAACGCCTTCGACGAGCAGCTCAAGGGCCTCGAAACGACCAAGGACGGCAAGGTCCGGCAGACGGTCACGACGGGCAAGCTCAACGCCATCGAAAAGGGCTCGCTCGGGCGGTGGTACCTATACACGTCGTTTGTGAAGGGAGGGTTCCTGGAGGGGACGGTGCACAACGAGGAGGACAAGGACTCGTCCTCGTCGACGGACTCGGACGACGCCACGCCGCCCAAGACGGACGACCCCGATCCGAGAAAAGAAACCAAGGAGGAGCGGAGGGCGAGAAAAGAGGCCAAGAGGAAACGCAAGGAGGAGCGCGCAAAGGCCAAGGCTGCGCGTCGCGAGCGCAAGGCGGCCAAGGCGAGCAGATCAGCCTCAAGCTCCGACGCCGACGAAGAGAAGCGCAGACGGCGCGCCAAGAAAGAGGAAAAGCGGCGCAAGAGGAAAGAGAAGGAATCCAAGTCATGACAAGCGTGAAAGTCACGAAGCGCTGAGTAAGGGGCATGGGCTCGCGAGGCATGGAAAATACGGCATTGCATAGGCACGGCGTTTGGTTGCGACCTGTTTGATACCCGAAACGGATGAATGAAATTAATAGACCTTCACGTCTCTTTCGGAGCCTTGCCCGGTTTGCCTGACAGGATCCACGGTCTACGGTCCCAAAAGTCATCCTTGATGATGTCTAGATGCTCCACCACGACCCGCGCCTTGGAGCGCCGCTTCTTGTCCTTTTCGGCCTGCGTCTTGGACTGCTGCACGGGCTCGGCCAGGTCGTCCATCTCCTGCGCCACTTGGTTGCTGTCCGCGTCGACGAGCTCGTACTGACTTTGTTAGAGCTATCCGGGTCAAGCCAGCACGGGTACTCACATCTCGGAAGATGACGCTGCCCTTCTTGTACATCTCCGGCTCGTTGTTGTAGTTGATGTGAAAGCGCGAAAACAAAATCTCGTTCTTGTCGGAGGCGAGAGTGCCCTGAACATGTCAGCACCGGCTCATAAGGGGCGGATGGTCACAGTACCGCCAATGTCTTTTCGGCCTCTTTATTGTCTAAGCCGCCAAGTTGTATCAGAGCCCAAAAGGTGGTGTTGTAGAGGTTGTTGATGTGGCCTTGCTAGGTTAGCGAATGCTGCCACATCAACGATGAGATGCCTCACAGTCTACCTGCCGCCAGCTCAGGTAGTCCCGCAGGTTCTGGACGCTGGGGTACACCACGGCGCGCCCGTCAAATGTCGGCAGCGGATATGTGAGGGGGTCGTCGGGAAAGTATGTTGGCCAGGAGTAGACGTAGTTGGCAGTGAAGGTGGAAACAATGGTGCTGACGAGTTTGCTGGATGATATGAGCATAGAGACGGAAGCCTGGGCGAGGGGTAACGGACCTGGCTCTTCGCTCAAACAGGCTGCAAGATTTGTGAAATACAAAGCTATGACCAGTTAGACAAGAGAGCGCATACGAGCAGAGACGTGATCCACCTGTATTCGTCGCTGATGCCGTATCCGATTGTGATCTCGGGCAGGTCTGTGACGACGGCCTTGGCGGCCGCGTTCATGAGATCCAGAGCTCTCCTGTCGTTCGGCTTCTCGAAGCCATACTTGGCACACATCCTTGAGAGAGAATGGCGTCAGATATACGCCTTCAGAGTAGCGTTGCGAGCTCATACTTTGTAAAACCCCTGCCATCGATGCGGACCACGATCCACGTATTCGGAAGCAGTGAGTCTTGCTGTTCAAAGTTGCGCACATATTCGAATCTGCCAACGGTCAGCACTTGGGATCAACGACCCACTGCAGCTTGTGCATAGGGGACCTCTCACTTTGAGTTTGCCATCGTGCGGACTCATGCGCACGGGCGGCTTGGACGAGACTGTGGACATGTAGAGTCAAGCATGAGGCATGCAAAGCCAGAGCTCACGATGTTAGTGCAAGTCCCCGCGGTGGGGCAGGCCGGATTGGGCGAGCTGGCTAGCGCTTCTACGCCAACGCCGGGGCGTGGCTTCGACTGGTCTTTTTCGCAGCCTCGCGGCGGGACACGATTCCAGCGACCAGAAACCGCAGCCTCTCGCGGCAAACGCATGCCCTCTTGGCCTCGCCCGATGCCTCACCACCCTTCTGTCACTTGACGAGTCTCCTCGTCGCGGTCGCAAACATGAACCTGCTCCTTTCCGACGACTACCTGCTTCAGGACTACCCTGAAAGCATCACCAACACGATCCGCTCCGGCCATGCGACCATGCTGCGCTTCAATCGCAAGGGCGACTACCTCGCGTCCGGGCGGGTCGACGGCACCGTCTCCATCTGGGACCTCGAGACCATGGGCGTCGCGAGGAAGCTGAGAGGGCACAATAAGAGCATCACCTTTCTGAGCTGGTCGCGGTGCGGAAGGTACCTGTTGTCCACGTGCCAGGGCTGGAAGGCTATCCTCTGGGACCTCCAGGACGGGCAGAGGTTGCGCGAAGTGCGCTTTCGCGCGCCGGCGTACATGGCGGAGCTGCACCCCTGGAACCAGTACGCGCACGATGCGATTGTCTGACACGAACCCGTTGCTGACCGGCGCAGCCTACAGTTTGTCGCGTCTCTCTTCGAGGAGCAGCCAGTCCTCGTGGACATGACCGAACCCGTCGATGTCAAGCACATACTGCCCTCGGCCCCGAAACGAGCGAATACGGACGGCGACGCCGCTCTCAAGGAGAAGCATGCCAAGGAGGACGCGAAACAAATGACGACGTCGGCCATCTGGACGACGACGGGCGACCACATCATCGCAGGCACGAGCAAAGGCAAGCTCAACATCATCGACGCGAGATCGCTCGAGATTATCTATTCCGAGAAAATATGCGGCGGCGTCATAACCACAATGCGCATCACCGGGTCCGGTAGGGAGCTCCTGGTCAACTCGCAAGACCGCATCATCCGCACATTCAGGATACCGAACCTGTCGGTGGACGACTTGGACCCAGATACGATACAGGTCCCTCTCGAACACAAGTTTCAGGACGTCGTCAACAAGCTGTCGTGGAATCACGTCACATTTAGTGCGACCGGCGAGTACGTTGCTGCCTCGACATATAACAACCACGAGCTCTACGTATGGGAACGGAACCACGGCAGCTTGGTGTGCATGCTCAAGGACCCGAAGGAGGAGCAGGGCGTCATAGAGTGGCACCCTACCCGAGCGCTTCTGGCGGCATGCGGGCTGGAAACGGGGCGAATATACATATGGTCGGTGGTGAGCCCTCAGAAATGGTCGGCGCTGGCGCCAGACTTTGCCGAGGTGGAGGAGAACGTCGAGTACATCGAGCGGGAGGACGAGTTCGACATTTACGGGCAGGAGGAGATACACCGGCGGCGGCTGGACGCCGAGGACGAGGACGTGGACGTCTTGACGCTGGATCCGACCAAGTTTGATGACGATGTCGACGGCTTTCGCATGCCCATTCTCTTCAACCTTGGCGAGAGCGACAGCGAAGACGAGTTCATCGCGGTGTCGACGGGGACCATGCGGCGGCGAAGCCCGGGCGAGGGCCAGAGCGATGGTGACGGCGTTACCGACGCACCGCCGGCGAAGAAAGGCGCCGCTGGCAGGGGAGGCCGGAGTAAGAAAAAGTGACTGGTAGCATTAGCTTCAAGTGTGCAGTGCGCCGGGCAATTGACAGGAGTGAAATGACCGATGTGCTGTCGAACAACGTGAGCTTGTCATGTCTCGATGGAGTGGCGCACGCGTCGCCAATCGGTAGGAGTAGTGTTTGAGTCACCCGGCGGCCTGAAGTTGACTGGCCATCGGTGGCCCGTGGCGCACGACTGGTGTCAAGGGCGAGCGAGAGCCTCACCAGGTCTAGCTACCCCGGGGTGCGGTGTGGTACGCGCTGTGGTCAGAAAAGCTGCCCCAGATCTTAGTGGACATTTGCTGGGCTCGCATCCTGATTATTGTGTCGCTTTCTTACTAACGCATCGGCGCGTCTGTCAGTGATACCTGCATTGTTCGTGCCTGAGGCACGATTGGGATGGCGCAGGGGCGTTTGTATGTCCAAAACAGGACTAGCGCGGCCTCCCCGTGGCCAGCCTACAACTCCAGATTCTTCCAGGCCGCCCTCTGACGAGTCGCCTCAACCCACGACAAACTCTGCCTCACGGCTCCAGCTCATCACAACGCGCGTCGGACATCGCGCGCAGCGCATCGAAGCACGTCCGGAAGTGCTACACGGACTGCCGAATCGCGTTCTCACGACTTCGACGACTTGCGAGGCGCTGGCGACTGGGGAGACGAGCCTGAGGTTCTCCTGGGCCGCTGGCCAGGACGGGGCGACGCTGGGCCGCCATCCGCCACCCGCGCACGACTGCGATTTCCATCGAACGGCCGCTCTCTCGAGTCTAATACAAGCCTTGCTCGGCGCGCAATTCTGTTTTTGGGGGGTTTTCGCCATATAACCGCGACTGCGCGGCGCGTTTCTCTGGTCACCGCCCAAGCCCGATCCTTCACATTCACGGTGCCCGCGCGGCGATCATCACAACAACAACCGCAACGATGGCGAACCTCTACTTCACGCACTCGAGCGCTCCGCTAAAGACGGTCGAGGAGATCCAGTTTGGCCTCATGTCTCCCGAGGAAATCAAGAACATGAGCGTCGCCCACATTCTCTACCCTGAGACCATGGAAGAGGGTGGCACGAAGCCACGCGACGGAGGCCTGAACGACCCTCTCCTCGGCTCGATCGACCGACAGTTCAAGTGCAAAACCTGCGCGCAGGCCATGGGTGAATGTCCCGGTCACTTCGGCCACATCGAGTTGGCCAAGCCGGTCTACCATCCAGGCTTCATCAAGAAGGTCAAGAAGATCTTGGAGATTGTCTGCCATAACTGCAGCAAGGTGTTGTCCGATACTGTTAGTCTATGCTGATAACTGCAAGGTATTTTTGGGACTTGGTAGATGCTAACCTGGTTTAACAGAGCGATCCAGAGTTCGTCGCCGCGATCAACACGCGAGACCCAAAGCTTCGATTCAACCGAGTGTGGGCCGTGTGCAAGAAGAAGCGCAAGTGTGAGAACGAGGACCGCCAGAGCAAAGACAAGGATGACGAGTTCGTGCCCGGGATGAAGGCCGCGCCTGCCAACAACCACGGTGGATGTGGCAACGTGCAGCCCGCCGTTCGCCAGGCCGCCCTGCAACTCAAAGCCGCCTTCGACGTTGTGCAGGAGGACGGGCCCAAGAGACGAGAGACAGTTCCGATCACGCCAGAGATGGCCCACGGCATCCTGCGGCGCATCTCCGAGGAGGACATGCGGAACATGGGCCTGAACTCCGACTACGCTCGCCCAGAATGGATGATTGTCACAGTCCTTCCGGTCCCCCCTCCCCCAGTCCGGCCAAGCATTTCCATGGACGGCACTGGCACGGGTATGCGGAATGAGGATGATTTGACGTACAAGTTGGGAGACATCATCCGCGCCAACGGCAATGTTAAGCAAGCCATCCGCGAAGGATCTCCGCAGCACATTGCGCGGGATTTCGAGGAGCTGCTGCAATATCACGTCGCCACGTACATGGACAACGATATCGCTGGACAGCCCCGTGCGCTGCAGAAGAGCGGCAGACCAGTCAAGGCTATTCGAGCTCGCTTAAAGGGCAAGGAAGGACGTCTGAGAGGCAACTTGATGGGAAAGCGTGTCGACTTCTCGGCCCGAACCGTCATCACGGGTGACGCCAACCTTTCCCTGCATGAGGTCGGTGTTCCTCGCAGTATTGCCAGGACTCTCACATACCCTGAGACGGTAACGCCGTACAATATTGGCAAGCTGCATCAGCTCGTCGAGAACGGCCCCAACGAGCATCCCGGCGCCAAGTACGTCATTCGGTCCGATGGCACTCGCATCGACCTGCGACACCACAGACGCGCCGCTCAAATCTCGCTGGAGTACGGGTGGAAGGTCGAGCGTCATCTCATGGACGGTGACTATATCATTTTCAACCGCCAGCCTTCCCTGCACAAGGAATCGATGATGGGTCACCGCGTTCGCGTTATGCCCTACTCGACGTTCCGGCTGAACTTGTCCGTCACGTCGCCATACAACGCCGATTTTGACGGTGACGAAATGAACTTGCACGTTCCTCAGAGTGAGGAGACTCGCGCTGAGGTGAAGGAGCTCTGCCTCGTTCCGAACAACATCGTCTCACCTCAGAAGAACGGTCCCCTGATGGGCATTGTCCAGGACTCTCTTGCGGGAGTCTACAAGCTGTGCCGTCGAGACACCTTCATCGACAAGGAGTTGGTACAGAACCTCATGCTTTGGGTTCCCAACTGGGATGGTGTAATCCCGCCCCCAGCCATCTTGAAGCCGCGGCCTAGATGGACAGGCAAGCAGATCATATCCATGGTCATTCCCCAGGAAATCAGTCTCAACAGCCCCGAAGGAGATAACCCGGATCTCCCGCCCAAGGATGCTGGCGTTCTCATTCAGAGTGGTCAGCTGATGTTCGGCCTGCTGAAGAAGAAGAATGTGGGTTCTGCCGCCGGAGGCATCGTCCACCTCTGCTACAACGAGCTCGGCCCGGAGGGAGCCATGGCTTTCTTGAACGGCGTGCAACAAGTTGTCACCTACTGGCTTCTGCACGAAGGCCACAGCATTGGTATCGGCGATACTGTTCCGGATAAACAGACAATCGAGAAGGTCCAGGTGCACATCGACACGCAAAAGGCCGAAGTGGCTCGTCTCACGGCCATGGCCACGGCCAACGAACTGGAGGCTCTTCCCGGCATGAACGTGCGAGCGACATTCGAGAACAAGGTCTCCATGGCCCTCAATCAAGCTCGTGACCAGGCTGGTACGACTACACAGCGGAGTCTGAAGGATTCGAACAACGCAGTCACCATGGCCGAATCTGGTTCCAAGGGTTCGTCTATCAACATCTCTCAGATGACAGCGCTTGTCGGCCAGCAAATTGTCGAAGGCAAGCGCATTCCGTTTGGCTTCAAGTACAGGACGCTGCCGCACTTCACCAAGGACGACTACTCGCCTGAGGCTCGTGGGTTTGTCGAAAACTCGTATCTGCGTGGTTTGACTCCCACCGAGTTCTTCTTCCACGCCATGGCTGGTCGTGAAGGTCTCATCGATACCGCAGTCAAGACTGCCGAGACGGGTTACATTCAGCGACGACTGGTCAAGGCTCTTGAGGATCTCAGCGCGCGCTACGACGGAACTGTTCGCAACTCTCTGGGCGACATTATCCAGTTCCTGTACGGCGAGGATGGCCTCGATGCCATGTGCATTGAGAAGCAGAAGCTGGGCATCCTGAAGATGTCTGACGCAGCCTTCGAGAAGAAGTACCGTCTGGATCTCGCCAGTCCTCCGGAGTGGTTCAAGACGGACTATGAGTATGGCAACGAGCTCACTGGCGACAAGGCTTCCATGGGTCTCCTCGACGAGGAGTGGGATGCTCTCCTGTCCGACCGTCGCGAGGTCCGTGCCATCAACCGCACCAAGATGGGCGAGGAGATGATGCAGCTTCCCCTCAACATCGGCCGCATGATTGAGACTGCCAAGCGAGTCTTCAACATCAAGGCTACTGATCGCAGTAACCTTCGACCTTCCGACGTCATCCCGGCTGTGCAGAAGATTCTGGGTGAGATGAAGATTGTCCGAGGCCAAGACCCGATCTCCAAAGAGGCCGATGCGAACGCGACTATTCTCTTCAAGGCGATGATCCGGTCTCGCCTGGCCTTCAAGGAGATTGTCAAGGCTCATCGCCTGAATAAGCTGGCCTTTGATCACGTCCTCGGCGAGCTCCAGAACCGGTGGGACAGGTCGTTCGTCAGCCCAGGCGAGATGGTTGGTGTTCTCGCAGCCCAGTCCATTGGTGAGCCCGCGACGCAGATGACTCTCAACACGTTCCATTTCGCTGGTGTCTCGTCCAAGAACGTCACCCTCGGTGTGCCTCGACTTAAGGAAATCCTGAACCTGGCGAAGGACATCAAGACCCCTAGCATGGCTGTCTTTTTGAACACGCCGCTGGCAAAACAGGAAGAGGCCAAGAAGCTGCGAAGCATGGTCGAGTACACAAACCTCCGGTCCGTCACTTCCGTGACCGAGATCTACTACGACCCGGATATCGAGCACACCAACATCGCCGAGGATGTGGACATGGTTGACTCCTACTTCTTGATTCCCGATGACAGCCAGGACAGCCTTGACATGCAGTCGAGGTGGCTTCTGCGCATCACTCTGGACCGACAGAAGATGCTCGACAAGGAAATCAAGATTGACGACGTTGCTCAGCGCATCAAGGAGGATTATGCCGCGGACCTGGCCATCATCTACAGCGACAACAATGCCGATGAGCAGGTCATTCGCCTCCGCACGCTCAAGAAGGGCGACGACAAGGATCGCGAGAGCGAGATGGAGGACGATGTTATGCTCAAGCGCCTCGAATCGCATCTCCTGGATAACCTCACCCTCCGTGGTGTGCCTGGCATCGAGCGAGCCTTCTTGACCAAGGGCACTCGCCTGACCGTCGATGCGGACGGTACGGAGCTCGCCATCAAAGACGACCCGCGATGCACCCAATGGTATCTGGACACTAGTGGTTCCGCACTGCGTGAGGTGCTCGCCGTCGATGGGGTGGACGCGTCGCGCACATACACCAACGACCTGTGGCAGATTGTCGAGGTCTTTGGTATCGAGGCGGCACGATCGGCCCTTGTGAAGGAGTTGACCAACGTGCTGGCCTTTGACGGTTCGTACGTCAACCATCGTCACATTGCCCTTCTGGTCGATGTGATGACGTACCGAGGCAGCATTTCGGCCGTCACCCGACATGGCATCAACCGCGCCGACACTGGTGCGCTCATGCGTTGCTCGTTCGAGGAGACTGTCGAGATTCTGCTCGAGGCTGCGGCCACGGGTGAGTTGGACGACTGCCGAGGCATCTCTGAAAACGTGATGCTTGGGCAGATGGCGCCTATGGGTACTGGCAACTTCGAGGTTCTCCTTGATCCCAAGATGCTGGAAACAGTCATCTCGGACAACTCTCGGATGGGTCTCATGCCTGGCATGCCGACCAAGGAGGGTGAAGCTGAGGGAGCGGCGACACCTTACGACACGGGTTCGCCCATGGCCGATTCTGGCTACCTCAGCATGAGCTCGCCAGCGGCCGGAAACTTCTCGCCCATCCAGGGCGCCGGATCCGAGACGCCAGCAGGATTTGGCACAGAGTATGGCGGTGCTGGCTTCGGCGGCATCGGATCCATGAGCCCATATGCGATGCGCGGAGCGACAAGCCCATTCAGCACGTCGCCGACGTCGCCGTTCAGCGCTGGAATGGGCGGCTACTCGCCGACCTCTCCCAACGCTGGCTACTCCCCGACGTCGCCGCTCATCGACGGTGGCGGAGGACGCTACGCGACGTCGCCGTCGTTCAGCCCGTCGTCGCCATCGTTCTCGCCGACGTCGCCGATGCTGCGACCGACGAGCCCTGCGAGCCCCAACTACAGCCCGACTTCGCCGAGCTACTCGCCGGCCTCGCCGTCGTCTCCTCGACACTACTCACCGACGTCGCCGGCGCAGTTCAACTCGCCCACGTCGCCGAGCTACTCGCCGGCAAGCCCCAACTACAGCCCTGCATCGCCTAACCTTCACGGCGCGGGCCCCACCTCTCCTTCGTACTCGCCGGCGTCTCCCTCGTGGTCGCCGACTTCTCCTGAGGCTTACTCGCCAACGAGCCCCAGCTTCTCGAGGAGCCCTGGCAACCAACAGTCGCCGACTAGCCCCAGCTATTCGCCGACTTCGCCTTCCTTCTCTCCCCGGACGCCAGGTCCGGGCAACTCGGGGAACCAGTAGTGAGTCTCGACACAGACCAAAGGTGCCGTGAACGGCCGGCTGACAATTGGCGATAGCTCCCCCAACTCGCCGTCTAACGATTGATTTCCCTCTGAGTAATGCATACGAGGCACAGGCTGTCTTTCTATTCCTTCAAGTTTTCGTTGATTTTCCGGCTCGAGCGGTTGAGAGGGGAGCCGATACGCATGATAGAACCCAAAAGCGAGGTGTGAGATACAAACGGGGGGTTTCTGAGAAGTGCGAAAGAAAAGCCAACAAATCAAGCCAAAAAAATTCCCGAGGGGAGTTGCGCGGCCCAGCGAAGGTGGTGGGCACGGGCGACAGAGGCGTTGGTGGTTACAGCAGGCAGGCTGGCGTGTATAGTAGCAGCGAGACACTGCAAGCAGCGGGCGCGGAGAGAAGCGGTCACAGCGACCGGTCGGAAGGGGTGCGAGGCATCAGCAGATTGGACCTAGATCAGATTGCATGCGGCGCGGGGGCAGTGGCAGTGGCAGTGGCAGTGGCTGAAGTAGTGGCAGAACTCGAGATAGGAATTGACCTATTTTGTCACTTTCGGTTGCAGACGGTGCATGTGAAGCGATTTGGTCGCCCACCTTTGCGCTGTCCGAATTGTACGCCACGTACATGCTGAAGGGTCGCCGAAATGGCCGCTGGTAAGGCACCCGCCAAAGGCAGCAAGGCGTGATGATGCAGCCTGCTGCCTGACACCCGGAGCCTCAAGGGCATCGGGTCGAGCTCAGGCACGGCGGAGTCGCCGATGCGCTCGCGCAATGACAACGGCAGACACGGACCGTGACCGCATCGTGTCACGGCAGCCCGGTCCCTGGGTGCGGAAGGGCAGGCGGCCAAATGACCGGGCGTACAGTCATGCGTTGGTGTCCAAGCCACGGGCAACGAAAGTATGTGAGACCGCCGGAGCTGGCCTGGACACGAGCCGGTGCGGGCCGCGACGGTACAGTAATGCGCAACGTTCGTCTTGCCTTGCCTTGTGGAAGCCCGTTTGCTTCCTGGACGGGCCGCCATGCTTGTTTGCCCAGCCCGTGCTCCGTATCACCGCGCAGCGCCCGGCCGGCCTGCCGGGGTGCCGTGGGACAGGGGCCATCATGTCTGTCTCGGACGCGGGCCGCGCCGCTGGGATCGAACGAACCTTCTTCCCAACGCGTCTGGCTGGCTGCATGGGCGCGTATCCGCCCGCCTCGTTCCCCGGCCTCTCAGACGTCGTTCCGCCCACCGTCGTCGTCGTCGCACAGCATGTGTCGGGACAGACATGGCACCTGCGCGTCAGCTCGCAGCGGCGGCGTCATGCGAAGTAACTCGTAATGCCCTGCATGTGCGGCGTGGTACCCTTGCGAGAAGGAATGACAAATTCAGTGACGAGTGTCTCGGCAAATCTAGCCATGTACCTGTAGCTGCTTTTGTGTGCATAACGAGGTAGTGTGGGCTTAGCAATATGTTCTCTTGGGACTTCGATCAGCTCTTGGTTCGACGTGCAGAGAGACATGAGGAGGGTTTCAATACACTCCGGGGACAGCGAACCACTACAAGGCATCCGCGCAGAGTACCTGAGTAGTGGTTACAGGCCTGCTACGGATTTATCCGCTGCGCATGCCAACGGAGACATGATGCCTTGCGGGCGGCAGCGCCCTTCCCAGAGAGTGGCAGGCCGGAGGGGCCAACGTTGTTTGCTCCAGGCCAGCCTTCGCTTACTGCAACGACGGGGTGTCGAGTTTCGACCGGGGAGGCGCAAAGGCGCAGTCGGGGATGGCATGGGGGATACTCGTCAGCTGCACGACAAGGCCGGCCGAAGGTACCTAGTATGATGTGCGGGCGTCGTTGTTGTCGCCGGCGTGCGTGCGTTTGCCGTGTAAGTCACGAAGAGCGATGCAACGCCGTGGCTCGGTCCGCCCAGCCCCGGCCCGTGTCCGGGGGCAGGGACTTCCATTCCGTCCGGGCCTTGCCCCGTCACACGCCCACCGTTACTTTGGCCCGACCCAGTTCGGATAGATGGCCCGTCCGATGGCGACGCTTCCCCTTTAGTTGATGCCCCCTTTCGTCGTGGTGAGAGGCTGCTGCTCTGCTTGTGATGTGAGATTGCAACGGCAACCACACACCCGATGCCCGATCCCGGCCTCTCTTAGTTCATCACATGACGAGCAGCGGATGCGTGTGCTCATGCATGGCGCCAGACTTGGTGGGAGCGGCTGGCACGCTGCCACCTCAGCGAGGAAAGCCGGCGGTTGTGGTGGTTGGTGGTGGTGGTGGGGTGGCACTCAAATCCCGCCACGCCCGCCTGGGAAAAGAAGGATGGACGGTGGACGGGAACCAAGGGCGGTCCGCTGTGGAGCCCGTCCAGGGGTGGGTGACCGTCCGCCTCGTCACCACACGTCCCTGTAATCGCCTAACCGTCGTGCACCTCACCAGGACCGTCTTATGGCTTCGATATGAGCTGTAGCTTTGCCATGTCCTCGATTCCGCCCATTCTGTGGCCGTGCACAGCACCTACTTCCTTCCTTCGGCACATGCCACAACAGTTACGTAGCACTGTAGTTCCGCCCCAGAACCGCCCCAGAACCGCCCCGGGAATCTCACGCCCCCAATCCCTACGCGCCGAGAACCTTATTCTTCGGCGTCGGGCAGGCGGAGATCGTGGGGGCAGGCTGAATCAATCGCCTCGTGCGGGGGACAGGTAGCAGCTGGTTGTTTCATAGCTGCTGGAGGCGGCGTCTGCAGTTTCTGAACGTGAGGATTAGTTTTCTTTGCTGGAAATAGATGCTGGCGCAGTAGATAGTTTCATGGGCGGTGCTCGGCAGTCAAGGCAGATGAGCGATCGTCGTGACGGATGAATGGATAGGGTCGGGGATTGCACCAGGGGCGAATGCCACAGCGAGTGTGCATGCTGTGAGGCGCCTGCCATGGTCAGAGGATCTCCTGGTCCTTGCTCGTAGGGACGGAAACAAACAATGGCAGAAGTAAAGCTCTCCTTGGCTATAGTCCGCTGGAACCTAGCTGATATTGTGTGAACCCTGCAAGGATGAGGAAATCCAGTGAGTACGAGCAGTCTCGAAACTGATATTATCCCTCGGAGTAGTATAGCGCAGCCTTGCCCAGCCAGCTCGCCTTGCCTTCTCTAACC